CCTACCACTCCCTGCATTGCATTTAGTCATTTAGATTTATATCTCCAACTCTCTTTTTGTGCTCCTGTATGTATTTATCCTTCTCTGGAGCTATATTTTCCAAGCTGCCTTATATAGAGCTAGCAAAACCTTTGAGACATACAACTTATTTTAAGGTTTCATAGTATTCAGTACACACAAAATAATCACTAGTGGCAGATAACTTGTACAGCTCAGACATAACGTTTATTCAAATATAGGCACATTTTTTACTGTTTTATTATGTAGACCAGCAAATGTGGTTTTAAAGTAGGTTTCAACTAAACTTCAACAATAAGATCATATCTGTGAAAATTAAGGAAGAAATGCCATCAGAGGGAAGGCAAGTAGATGATAAGATATTCATGATCCGTAAACAATAACTCAAAGGCCAAACTGATTTCTAGCTGCTTTAGAAAATAAAATTTTATTTTAACACAACCATATACAATATTTGCATATTATCCATAATTTATATTAAGTAGTTTTATACTGTCTACAATGCTGAAACTATTTAATATCTGACTTTTTACCAAAACATTTTACCGAGAGGCAGATTAATTAGTTTAGTAGGAATGGAAGATGAAAGGGAGTGGTTACCTATCAACCTAAGATTTTGGTAGCATGATGAAAATGTCCTAAAGTTAGATTGTGTTGATGTCTATATAGGGCTGTAAACATGCTAAAATAGTGTGCTAAACATAGTGTACTAATTATATTAAAATGCATACTTCATTTCAATAAAGTTTTTAAAAGTCTGTGTATTCTATAATACCTAGGGCATTTAAACTTGAAGTAAGGAGGGTGTTTAGAACAGCAGAAAAAAACTAAATTTGCTGGCATCTGTTAGATTGTTATGTAAATCTATCCACTTCCCATTGTAAACTATTCATTATGCTACAAGTTATAATTTTGAACTTTAAATGCTTTGTAATTTGGAAGCAGGTGAATACATAAATCATATAAACAAAAATGCATAGCTTTTTCACCTGTTACAACATTTTATTTAAGGCTTCTTGAAGAGTCCAAATAACATTCACATACAGCCATGACACTTACCAGACAGGTATTTTAACTTCAAAGGAATTTTATAATGTACACTTTAGATGCAAACAGTCACATTTGTTTATGGATACCTGTTGGAAAGGAAAATACATACTTTTTCAACCCCATCCAAAGAAACATTAATACTCTAATCTTTTTTAAAAATCAACATTGGGAAAATATGAAGTTGGAGCAAATTTATTTCTTGTAGTATTATTTTATTACTAATGATCAAATTTTGTACTAGAAATCTATAGCAGTCATTTAGTACAACTCTTTCATTTTTCCTGTATGGATGAAAGAATAATGTATTAAGGACTACACTACTTTTTTCCTGATGAATAAAATTCACATTTCCATGTTTGGACTATATAGTATGTACTATATAGTACATACATATAACTGCCACATGATATTTAATGCAAATACCTGCTTTTTTTCTATGAGAGTATAAGACTTGCAAGTTTAGAGTCAGGACATGGGCTTTTTTCTTATTTCTGTGAACAGCAAGAATTAATGCATCATCTTCCTGGTTTATGAGGAAGATACTGAACAGTGACATTTTCAACAATGGAAATCTTCAGAACAGGAGGCAAGTTAAAAGGAGTTTCTAAGGACAACCAAGTAATGATTCATGTTAATCCTTTTTCTTTAAAATAATTCTGGATCAGTATGACAGAACATTCTCTTTTTACCTGATTTTCTTCATTAATATATGGTTAAATTATGGTATAAAGCTGGTTGTTGCCCTATTCATCCAGCTTTTTCTCATTAAATTTTAAATAATGCAAATAGAAGAAAGTGTTTTGTATTCAGGAAGTGTTCTCTGAATGAGAGTTTAAAACAGTTTCTTAAGAAAAATAATTGCTGGGCTTAATACCCAATGACTTTTTTCTCTTTTCTCTCTCTGTACCTATTTTAAGTTATAATCTCTACAAGTGAACACAATAATCACTTATAGGTAGCTGTCAAACAGCTTGGAAAGAAAACTGTAACACTCCAATCTTCTGCCATTGATTTACCTTTTTCTGATAAATACTGAACTTATCTGCTGATTCTTTTTACTCTGCAAATGCCATACTATATTTGCCCTATTTTTTTTTTTTTTACCAGATTGGTCTATGTGGCAATTTACTTGTCTCTCTTCCCTTTTAAAAATTTATGCATCTTTAAAACATAAATCATGATTGTATTCTTCTATCCCTTCCCTAAGCAATATGCATATGCTCAGTAAAATATTTAATCATTTACCCTGTTGAGAGTTTGCCCTAATTTTGGAAAATATTATTTTATTGGTAAAGAATAAAGAGACAAATTCAAACTAACTTAAGCTGGATTATAGGCAGTGTATGGGGGATACTTTATGAAACAAAGACTTTGGAGCCCTACAGTGTCCAGGCATCAGGTATTAGTTTATCTCTCTGACTATGTCTACTCTCCTTGATCTTATCTCTTATCTCCATCTCTTTCTCTGACTATGAATCTCTCTCTTCTTTTATCTCTATGCAAAAGTATGAGTTACTCTTTGACTTACTCTTGTGTTCTCAACACACCTTTTCTTTGAGGGAACCTCTTAGTCTTGTTTCTCTCCACTAACTAGCTTTCTTTGTTTGTCTACATCTATAATTACATATGACTTAGCTTAGAGTGTGTTTGTGTTGAACTCAAATAAAACATATAAGCAAACCTACAAAGTTTTCATTTCTGAGCAAGAGAATATGTTGTCTCAGTGGGGCCAACATGCTCCAAGATAGCAAGGGACAGAATACGAGTCCTCTCATCTAGTAAAAATATACATGGAATTTGTCTTATCTGATATGGTTTTCACTGTTTGGTCCAAATTATGTAAAACACTATAATAGAGTGATGCTGAGAAATGGCATAGTATTATATAATGAGATACAAGGAAAGGTATAATTACATAGGTTTTATCCATTGTTTTAATAATAGCAAACTATTATGTTTGCTCATAATAGCTACTCTGCACCAGATGCTATTCTAATTGTTTCCCCACCCACCTTGTACCCACATACTGGCAAGAACAAACTTCTGCTTCTCAACTCTAGAGTGTTATTACCATTTCCATTGTAGAGGAAAAGGAAGTTAAGAAGAAGAGAGTGTGCTTTATACAGCCAGAAAATTGGTAGCAGATCTAGAATCAGAGCCCAGGTTATGTGCTTAACCATTGACTATGCATCTGTCTGTCATTTGAATTTGATGCTTTGAATGTAAAAACCATCACATTCATTTGTAAAAAATGAACCCTACGGTAACAATGCTCAATAGGAAATGTACTCATTACCTTACTCGTGTAACTGTAACCCCTCTGTACAGTATTGTTACAATAAAAACATATAAAACATGAACCCTACCAGGTTTGACTTTTATTTCTTTTTCTTAAGAATCTACCATTTAAAATTTTCTCCTGACATGCTTGGCTTTCTATCCAAGCTACACGGATTAGCTGTTGGTCTCACTTTTTACTCAGCTATTCTTTTTTTATCTTTCACTTTTATTCTTTTATGCTGATTCTAGTGTTTGAACTCTAGATGCATAACTGTTAGACTTATTTATTCAGCTAGTGTTTTACCAGATCAGCCATGCTTCCAGCCCAGGTTTTTGCTCATTGTTTTGGAGATAGTGTTCTGCAGTTTGAAGGTGATCCTCCAGATCTCAGTCTTCTGTGTAGCCAGGATTACAACACGAGCCACTAGTACCTAGCCCCTCAGTTATCTAATATTTTCTCAGTTATATTTATTGAGTCTTACCTTTATTTTTCAGGTAGGGTCTTGTACTTTTTGCCAAGGCCACTCTCATAGAATGATCCTCCTACATATACCAGCCTTAGCTTGTTTGTTGAGATGGGGACTCTTGTTAATTGTTTTGCCAAGGCCAGTCTCCAACTTCAATCTTACTAATGGAGGATTGATGTTGGCCTCCATAGAAGGGTCAAAGTTTCCTACATTTTTTACAGATACTGCTAATGAAGTTGCAAAAGGCTTATTATGATTTGATCCTGATCACAATCATTATTTTATTCCTGGTGATTTAAAAATAAGATAGTAAAACAGATGTTCATTTATCTGTCTTCCCCCACGGTATAACCTTTGCTTTCACTGTATTTGATGTTGGTATAATATGTGGAGGGGAAGGGCAAAAACAAACCGTTTAAATAGGGATACAGGTGGACCCACTGCAACAATGAGATGTACAAGATGTTATGTTGAAAAAACGAACTTTACAATTTTGTCGGAGGGCGGGGTGGGGGGGAGGATGAGAAGGGATGGGAAGGGGAAACAAAGGAGGAGGCTACAATGCTTGATAAGAAATGTACTCATTACCTTGCCCATGTAATTGTAACCCCTCTGTACAGTATTTTCATAATAAAAAATTAAAAAAACACCTCTGGGTTTTCACCCTGTCCATCTTAACTTATTCTTCCATAATTAGGCTTTAAAATGCAATCACCTAACCACACCCATCAAAATGTCATATACATATATATATATATAAAATCCTAGATGATTGAGTATCTTTTGGGAATATAAAAAGGATTTTTAAAATGTTTTAACAGCAAGAGGAAATTATTTTATAAATGAATTAATACTTTAGCTTTGTGAGACAGTTGAGAAAATGGTAACTTCCCTTTCAAATTTAAATAAGAATGAACAATTTTAAAGTAACTTTCTCTGCATTTGGGCCCCTCACTGCTATGTCTGCTCTCACCTTCCTCCAGTTCTGTAGCTATTATTGTGTTCTGACCACCCAGTCTACCCTCCACTGGTCAGCACCTCCTTTTCTTTCAGGTAATGCTCTATGAAGGCAAAATGCCAAGTGGTGACTAGGGACTCACGGTGCCAGGGTAAACCTTGGAGAGCAGTATTTCATCTCTAGACAAAATCATGGAAAGCAGTTGAGAAAAGGAGTCACTTTGCAGGATGGATTATACCTCTGAAAATAAAGTGGTGAGTCGGAAACCCCCTTCAGGGCAGCTATTGGGGTCATGTGGCTGGGGAGTCTTGGGTCACCTTTGGAAAGCTGGGAGCTCTAGATTCACCGTCAGGTACATGGTGAGGAGACAAGGACAGCATGAGAATTCAGTCTTCTCCACTATTGAAAAGCTGTTGGGGTCTGGGGAAGCGGGGGGGCTTCTGTTACAGCATTAATCATTATTCTGGATCCCTTTTTGCTCATTACTTTGTACTAAAACCATAACAGTATTTGCTAGGAAGCATGTTCACTTGTTCCAGTAAGTCTCCATCCTTGCACAATAAGGAGGTGGTGATGCTCACCTGTAGTTCCAGCCAGTATGGAGACAAGAGTAGTTTTAGTTCAAAGCCACTCTGGACTATGGAGCATGCCTCTCAAGAAGAAAAAAAAATGGAAAAAGAGAGAAACAGAGAGAGAGGAGAGAGAGAGGAAGAAAGTGGGAGAAAAAGGAAGGAAGAAGGAAAGGAAAGAAGGAAGGAAGGAGGGAAGGAGGGCAAGAAAGAAAGATCCTAAAAGCTATAATCAGGGGTTCTGCCCGTTTCAACAATCTTCAAGGCTTCGTTTCATTGCAGATTCATTTGAGAGTTCTCTACGATTACCAAAATTCCTTAGGAAAGCAAGAGGCAACACGCCAAAGCTTCATCCACGGCAAGGCTCTTCTGCAGGCTGACTACAGTGCCACATTCATTCCTGGGGTCTCTCCGGACAGGTTGGGCGTGGCTTTCAGCCGGGCGGACCCTCAGATCAGAGGAGGAGTCTGGGGGCGCGGGGGTGGGGAGGGGCGAGGAGCCGGGGCTTGAAAGCTCCAGTTGCTATCCTGCGACCGAGCTGGCCTGGCCAGAGAACGAAGTCACCCACCCAGGAAAAGTCTGCACAGAGGGTTGAGAGCCGGCTGTGGCCTGTCCTCCTGACACCGGCCGCTCGAGCTGAGACTCCTGTGGCCCCCCCACCCGCAGCCCCAAAGATGCCACGAGGAGCCTGGGTGGTGGCGATGGTATTGGTGCTCCTGGCCCTGGGAAAAGGTCAGCCAGATAGGTGGCCTGGCCGGCGCGGGAAAAAAGCCTAGACCAAGGGGGCGGGGAGTGAGCCCTGGGCGATGAGGGACGAGCTCTGCATCTCCATGGCCGCTGCTGAGGTGGTGCCCCAGCGCTTTCCTCCGTGCCCCAAGTGGCCACTTACAGCCCGGTGCGCCCGGGTTGATTTTACGCACAGGCCGTTGCTTCCTCTTCTCTAAGCCTGTGAATCCTGTTTTTATTTGTTTCCTGTCAATCTGATCTTTTAATTTACTCTAAGGATCTATCCTCGATTAAGCCATGCATAGCAGAGACAGGTGGGTCTTAAAACATCCGAAGAATTTCGTTCCCAATTGCCTGGTTTCCAATCTTACCCCACCCCAGAAATCATTTACTAGTGAATACTGTGTTCCTACGGTACATCCAGAAGTGCAGTTTGTGTGTGATTATTTCCATATTGTTAGAATCCGTTTTCCCACTGTAAAGGATGGTTTTAAACAGTAAGTTTTTGTTTTGGTTTTTTTGGTTGTTTTTTTTTTTTTTTTGCTTATGTGGTGCTGAGGAATCAAAGCCAGGGCCTCATGCATGCAAGGCAAGCGCTCTACCACTGAGCCAACTTCCCAGTCCAAGGATGGTCTTTATGGAAAGAAAACCTCTTCGATTTGAAGAACAGCCAGACTGATTTCCAAAGCAGCTGTAGTTTTATATCCCAACAGTATAGGAAGGTTCCAATTTATGTATACTTCTGTCAGACCTTGCCATTACTTGGTGTTTTGATTCTAGCCATGCTAATGATTATTAAGTGTTACATTTCACTCTGGTTTGATCTGCATTTTCCTGATTTTTGTGTGTGTTGCATATTGGACATTTGTATATGTTCCATATTGGACATTTGTGTATGTTCTTTGACAAGATATCTACTCAGTTTGTTCCCATTTTATGGCCCTTTGGTTGAATTTCATGAATTACTTGAAAATTTTAGATTCATTTCTCTTATGAAATATTCAATTTGCAATCATTTCCTCCTATTCTATGCTGTTTGGGTGTTTTTATATTTTATTCAATTGGTGTTCTAACATAAAATTAGTTTGTCGGCCAATTCTAAATTGTTACTCTTGGCTATTAAATTAGAAACAATCTAATTCAGGTTACAAACAAAACTGGGAGACATTTGCATATTCTATCTCTGGATATCTATTATACACAATGTGTTACATACGTTTAAAGTATTTAACATCTAAGATGTGCTGATTGCATTTTACACAGCTTAGTTGCCTTAAATCATATTAGGAAGAAGCCAGGAAAATCTGAGATGTGAATTTTAATTCATATTTAATATGTACTTTGGAGGAAAATTTTATATTGAGGCTTATATGGAGGAAATAGACTAGGAAGAAGGGATTGCAGTTATGGGTTAGTTCTTGAGGAACTAAGCTATAGAACCTCAACTGAACCAAACCTTCATCTTAATTCTTAGTTAACTGTGCCACATCTTCCAGATCATAGATTGGAACAAACATCTTTAAGTACCCTAGTAATGGAGGAGGTGTTTATTATTTGGGTAACCTGGTAGTAAAGTTGTCACAAGAGTTGCCTTTCTAGGACAACTGTTTTGTTGCCTGTCTGCCCCTCCTCATCACGGAAAGAGGACCTTTATATTTTCCCTCTGTGTGTTTCACAGAAAAAGTTTTTACCAGATAGTACCACTCAGAAAACATGTTCCCTAAAAGGAGCACAGCAACATTCTTTGGTCTTTTCTTGTTTCTTACTAAAACCTGTGCCTCTCTATCCTGCTCCTTTCATAGTTTCATAGTAAAATGGGACTTCCAATATGTGGAAGGAAGGAGGAAGAAAGGAAAATGGGAAGGAAGGAATGGAAGGAGAGAGGAAAAAAGAGAGGCGATGGATTGAAAAAAACATGCCCTATGCTTTCTTGCACTGTAGAATGCAGGAGACTTTAATATGCACAGACTTCACAAATTACAAAAAACTAGATTGACATGAAAACAGCTTGAACTCCAGATCTGCTATAAATGAGACTTTGATGTGACTTTGGCAGAAAAAAACTAGAAACTGGGTCAAGGAAAGTGGGTATTGATGTTCAAATACTGAAGATTTAACTCAAGAAGAATCCTTATTAATCAAAATAAACAGATCCTAACTCTGCTCCCTTGTTTTGTTTACACAGAATGAAAATAATTGACTTAAAGGTGAAGTATTTAAAAACTACATTTGAATGAGTTCTGTTGCATTTATTGTGTTTATGGAAAGTGTTAGCATTCTTGACTTTTCACGAGACCTTAATCGTGTTTGGAAGATATTTATTGTTGTTTTAATGGCATTTGTTTGTTTGATTTTGTGCTGGGAATCCAGTTTGAGAACTGAAGTAAACCAGTGATGGAAACAGTTTACATATGGATGCATCTCTTTCTGTCTAGCTCAGGAATGCTCTTCAGGGGGCCACCAGTTTCTTCAAAGTCCATACAGAAGTGTCCACTTTGACTCCAAGTATCTACAGCAGTCAGATACTCAAGATCTGATTTGTGACCACTCCCTTGTCCCTGGGTGGTACCGATTTCTTATCTATGACAGACCTGCTGAGATGCCAACCAAATGTGTGGAGGTACTACTGCAACTCACTAAGAACTATACTACACGTGCTTTGTCTTTTTGCTTTTTCATATGATGATTGAATCTTCTCTCAACCTCTTTATTTTTGTGCTAAAATATTATCATTTTATAGAATGGTGTATCAGATATATGTATTTGTTATATGCTTTATATTTATTCACCTCAATATCACATATACACATGCATTTATTATATATAGATTTTATTGTGTACACACAATACAAACACATGAGTGGATATGAGATTTCCTTATTTTTATTTTTTATTACTTACATTATTTATAAAGAGGGGGATTGTTACACTTTCTACACATAATTATAAATACCTTCCAATCAATCTTACCTCTTCATCACTTTACTTTCTCTTCTTCATTCTACATTGAATATGATTATATTTATTATGTAGGATATAATTTTAAATTTAGTATTCCTTAAAATATTTCCATACAAACTGGGAGCCAGTAGCTCATGCCTGTAGTCTACAGTTACTCAGGAGGACGCTGAGAAGTGAGGATCCCAGTTTGAAGCCAGTCTGGGTAGAAAAGTCCATGACACTCTTACCTTTAATTAATTGCCAAAAAGCCGAAATAGAGCTGTGGCTCAAGTGGCAAAATGCTAGCCATGAGCAAAATAAGCTTAAGTGCCTACGCCCTGAGTTCAAGCCTCAGGACCTGTGTGTGCATGCACACACACACGTGCTTACACGTGCACACACACACACACACACAAATATTTCCTGTATAGTATATATACAAGCTACTAGATATTTTTAGGTGACTGGTAATTTACTGTTTTCAAGCTTGTTTAGAAGAAAGCACTAAGTTGATTTCCCTGCATGAGAATAAATTAGATTTTTAACTTTTATTTCTTTTGATGTAAAAGGTGAACCATTGTGGAACTCAGGCTCCTATCTGGCTGTCTCTAGGAGATTCAGAAACACTGCCTCTTCCTGGGGAAATCAAGCAACTGACTGCTTGCGCCACATGGCAGTTTTTGTTTACAAAGGACTGCTGCCTCTTTCAAATACCTGTGACTGTAAGAAACTGTGGGGAATTTTTTGTATATTTTCTACAACCAACTCAGGGTTGTATGGGTTATTGTGCAGAAGGTAAGGAAATATCTATCAATCATACTATTGAGCTGCTGATCATGTAGTGCATGCATGCGTGCATGCATGTGTGTATGTGTGTGTGTGCGTGTGTGTATGTGTGTATATATTGGTGTGCAGGGATATTACTGTAAATTCCAGGTAGGTTTCTTTGTGTTCATGCAACTCTCATTGCTAAATCGATATTAACGTCTGGTTTAAATTGGCCAGGCGTGTCCAAGCTTCTTTGCCTAGATCTTAAAGTGCTCTAAGTCATAAATGCTAATGTAAAACTACCAAAGCACAATTCTCTCATGGCACGCAATCATTATGTTAAAATTTCTCTGGCTTCTTCTTGCCCTTTCCCTCAGTAATTAAGGCCCAAAGAATAATGAGTAAAAGTTAGGAAAATGTGGATTTTACTTTATTTCATCTCTTATTCTTCAATGTTCATTGAGTGTTTATCCAGTGTCAGGAACTACTTTAGGGCTTTAGGTCACTGTAATGAACAGGATAAATAGATAAGTGAGATGTTTGCCCTTATGGAACTTATGGATGGCCTTATACAATGAATGAAAATAAAACTGATATAGCCTTAAAAAGTAGTATAAATGCCTATGATACCTTAATATACAAGTAGACAATTATAAAAGTAAATAGAACAAAGGAGACAAAGCTTCCTCAAAGAATTTCAAATAATATTTGTAGCTTCTGTTTTGCCTAGAAGATGGAACTTAATTATCTCCTTTTAATAATTATAAAAAGGACACTTTTTTGTTTTATGATTAAGAGTATGTTTTTATTATTTTTATTATATCTTTAAGTAGTTGAATGAAGGAGTTGACATTGAACAAAGCAGTTTATGAAATACAATACATCATGATAAATGTTACCACTTTCAACATTCTTATCCATTCCTCCCAATCCATGTTTTCCCTCACTTTCCTTAATTTTGAAGGATACATTGAATTCTTGACTGTATTCTTCCCCTCTTCTTCATTCACATATTCCTCGCCCTTTAATCTCCTTCCACCTGTTTCAATTACCTGGTATTTATTTTGTTGACTTTTGACTTTGCCGTCCTTTCTAAGGAACTACACTATTTAAGTTCTCCCTTGAATCTATCATATTTCAGTTAATACATTTGTATACATTTGCATAAACACCCAACGTATTTACTCATAATTTTATAAGCTACCTCTAGCTCCTACATATAAGGAAAAACATACAACCCTTGTCTCTCTAGGTGTAACTTAAATCACAACGTAATTTTTTCCAGGTCTTTTCATTTCTTTACAAATGATATTATATTCTTTCTAATAGATGAGTTAAATTCCATTGTGTACATATACCACATTTGCTTGACCCCTTGTCCATTGAGGGACATCTGGGCTGATTTCATACCTTGGCTATGATAAGGAGCATGGTTGCATTGGTGGTTTTACTGTATCCTGGTGTGTAACCTTTTTGGCAAATGGCCAGGAGTGGAATTGATGGATTGTGGGTACTTCTATGTTTAGAATTTTGAGGAACCTGACACTGTTTGATTTTATATGGAACTGTCAAATTGTCTTGCAAAGTAAATCTGTCATTTTACATTTCTATCAACAGTGAATGGCCATTCCTGATGCCCTACATCCTTGATAGCGTATTGTGTGTCAGTGTGCTCCATGATTTAATAATGCAGATCCAAATTTCGGAAACAAGATATGAAAACTATCACCATTTCAAAATGGGATTCCTTATCAGTCCCAATGGAATTTTTCCATTAAAGAAAAAATATTAGACTGAATGGACCAAGAAAATGTGGTATATATACACAATAGAATTCTATGCCTCCATCAGAAAGAATGACATTGCCCCATTTGTTAGGAAATGGAAAGACTTGGAAAAAATTATATTAAGTGAAGTGAAGTAAGCCAGGCCCAAAGAAACATAGGTCCCATGGTTTCCCTTATTTGCAATAACTAATATATGTCTGAAACAAGCAGAAATGGTCAGATAAGTTGATTTTAGGTGAAATGAACCCCAAGATAAGGACTCAAATGGTTTTTCTTTCTTGCTATTGTTTCTAACATATTTATAAGATGATTTCTTTGTTGCTTTGTATGTCCCTTCTCCACAGTATTACCCATGTTTTCACTGTACTTGATGTTGGTATAGTTTGTGGAGGGGAAGGGAAAAAACAAATAGTTTAACTAGGGACACAGGTGGACCCATTGCAACAATGAGATGTACAAGACGTTATGTTGAAAAACGAACTTTACAACTTTAGTGGGGGAGGGGGAGATGGGAGGGCAGGGATGGTAAGGGGAAACAAAGGAGGAGGCAACAATGCTTGATAAGAAATGTACTCACTACCTTGCTCATGTAATTGTAACCCCTCTGTATGGTATTTTCACAATTAAAAAACTTATTAATAAAAAAGAAGAATATTAGAAAAACCCATAGAGAGAAAACTAATACGATAACATTCTAAATTAAACTCATTTTTCTAAGGAACTGTGATACTGTGCTTGTCTATCTATCTATCTATCTATCTATCTATCTATCTATCTATCTATTATCTTTCTTTTTCCTTCCTTCTTTCCCCTTTCCCTCCTTTCCTCCCTCCCTCCCTCTGTTCTTTCTTCCTTCCTTCCTTCTTTCCTTTCTTTCTTTCTTTCTTTTTTTCTTTCTTTCTTTCTTTCTTTCTTTCTTTCTTTCTTTCTTTCTTTCTTTCTTTCTTTCTTTCTTTCTTTCTTTCTTTCTTTCTTTCTTTCTTTCCTGTTGAATAACTATACAAATCTTACTTTTTGCAGCTATTTCTGGTGCAAAAATGTATACATGTGGCCCTGAAGAAATAGAAATTGGAGGTAATTGCATTGGTAAGTATAACATTCTGTTTATTTAAACATATTTATAAACTAGTGATTTATAAACTTATGTGGTTGATTCATTTTGTTGTGACTCGTTTATGACAGTCTGCAGGCATCAAAAATAAAATAAAACCTTTATTGTATATTTATGGTATATTCCTGGGTTTGGCACAGTACAGATAGTCAAGGAAGCATGTGAATATTGGTAGAATCATACAAGAAGAAATCTGATAATTTAGCTCAACTTAAAAAAAATCCACATGTATTCATACCTACAATTATATTATTATAAATATGTTTTAGAAAACTGTTCAAAGTGTGTAGCATTTTTCTTCTAACTCTGTGAGGGAGAAAAAAAGAGACTGAAAAATCAAACTGTAATTGGTGGCTTATGGATGGAATATGTCTGTATCTATGTAGCACTACTCTACCTAAAAAGAGCTGTGATTATTCAATAGCCGATGATTAATTCAATATTTCTGCTGAGCAAGTAATGACAAAGTATTCTCCAAACACCACTAAAACATGCAAATATAGTCTTTGACAGTAACAAGATATTTGTGGTAAGATACTTGTATCTATGAAAACAGAGTATCAATATACCTCCGTTTTGTTTTCTAAGAAGATTGCATTTATCCCAAACAAGTTTTGAGAGGTAAATGCCAGAGATGTTAGTAATGGTAGAAATTTTTCTTCCTGTTGCAATTTGCCTTTTCCATTTGCTAACTTTATTTAATGTTGTTGTTATTTCAAATGTTAGAAACTCACTTGCTAAGAATGTTCTCTGAAACACACTATCCTAAATTGATTGTCCGGGTGATAAAATGTGTGACATCTACCTACAGCATAGGCAGGAATTAAACTTATTTATTACAATATCAATTTGGCTGGGCATGATGGTGCATGCCTGTAATCCCAGTATCCAGAAGACTGAGAAAGAGAATCAAGGCTTTGAGGCCTACCTGAGCTATATAATGAGATATCTCAAGAAAAAAAAAATCATTTTGGAGCCATGGAGGCATGGCCCAGTGGAGGAGTACCATCCTAGCAAAACAAGACCCAGAGTTCAAACCTCAGGACTGTTGAAAAGAACATGTTAAAGCCAAAGGTTAGTTATATTTGACCTGTAGTCATGTTCTTAAATAAATGTGGTAAGGTTGATGTATAATTAATATGATTTTCAACAGAGTTTTAAAAGGTGAATTAAGTCATAATGAGATAAGATAAATCACATGATAATCAGATATCAGTTACCTTGCCTTTAAAAAATACTATTACAATAATCTTCAAAATAATTCACTCTGGGGTGCTTTTCTATACTCTATTCCAATTTTAAATGGATTTTTCTAACCATCTTTTCTATTATTGTTTCAAGGAAATCTTCCTGTGTTTGAAATGTGATTTAAGTTCCTAAAAAGAATGCAGTAACATCCACCAATAATAGTAGCAATATCATAAAGTAGACTTATCTAGCAATTCCACACATGTATAGGTATTTGCTTCACAATGTGTCTGTAGTATATAAAAAAATGACTTTGCTTCTTTGAATAAGTAATAAATGTCAACTACTTTTGCTAATCAACATATCCATGGACTTAATTGAAAAACATCCTGTACAAAACAGTACACAATTTGAGGAATGAACTGCTTTTAAAAATACTAAATGTGCTATACTCATTTGTTTTCTTAAAATATTTAGCAAAATATATGTTGCCAACTATATTGGTGCACACCTGTAATGCCAGCACATGGGAGGCTGAAATGGGAAAATGGCAAGTTCAAGGCCAGTCTGGATTATATAGTGAGGACCCTGTCTCAAAACACAAACAAAATTATGTTAATTTTGTTAATTATGATAAATAGAACAATTTCAAAACAGTTTGTCATTGGGACTTTTGAATATGAGGCCTAACAAAATGATACTTTTAAATTTCTGCAAATACATTTTCCCACATGAAAAGCTTTTAAGAAAGATCTGAGAATATTTCAAAATTTATATGACAGAGTAGAAAGATTAGTTTGTGATTAGTCATAAAATTATAATGTATGCGATAGAAGAGTATTAGTATATTTTGGAATACTTTAAAACATATTTTTAAAAATTATTGCTTAGACGCTCTGTGGGGATGATTCTCAGAACTTTGTGTTTCTGATTACGTGGAAGCAGCCTATGTCCAGATTTTCTTTGATTGTAAAATATATTTTTACCTTTCAGCCTTCTAATTTAAGTGGTCCATATAAAAGTAAATAAAGTTCTCTACGGAAAAAAAAAAATTATTGCTTAGAGATTCTCCAGTTTCTAAAACAAGGAAACTTTCAGAAATTTGTTCAGCTCCCCAGATCTAATTTCATAAGTACCAGATTTTTTTAAAGTAAATTCTTCATATGAGTCCCTACTTAAAGAAAACTTCATTTATTTAGCATAAAATAATGAAAAGGATAAGATTATTCTTGAATAGAATCTGTTTCACTGACCATGTAATTACTTTTGCAATAAGCAGCGTTTCCAACCTGATTTAATCATTACAAGCTAAAAGAGTAAATTATGAGAATAAAATAGTCATTTTATTTTACATTCTATTATCTTTCTTTATAATAATGAGTTATAACGTCTAAAACCTGAATTTTGTTTGTTCTGTCTTTTAGAAAAGAAATTACCTAAAAGAACATAAACAATGTTGCTTTTCAAGGACATTCAACCTGTTTTGATATAAGCTTGATGAGCTATACGGCTGTGTGATTAATTAATATTGATGTGATTATAGGTCCAACATAAATGTGGTACTTTTTGCCTACCAGAAAATAACAATTTTTCTGAATTGATTTCATTTCCACTTAAACAAACCCCAGGGTTTCAGTCTCCACATGCTTTTCCCAAGAGCCACTTTTGAAGATGCTCAACCTCTGCATTGTACACTTCCTCCCACCAGATCGGCTGTCAGTCTCCTCACCACCACCTCCTCCAGGAAGGCCAGAGGTTGTGGTGGAGTTGATTGAATCCAGGCTGTTCTGTAGATGTGCTTTTGATATTCCACCAACAAACACCTCAGTGGGATTTCTCATAGCCTGGTCTAGACTTTCTTCTCAAGAAATCAAAGAGGAGCTGAAACAGGAGACCACAATTCAAGCCTTCTCTCTTTTAGAACTTGATGGCATAAATATCGTACTTGGGGATAGGGTATGTGAAAAAATGGATTTCTTTTGTTTTTCATAAATGTATTGATTTTCCAAATTTGACTTCTTTTTAAATTATATCCTAAAAGTAGAATTTTGTTCCCCAAATATAAAGTATTAAGGTATTCCTCTTTACCTATGCTAATTCTAGTAATAACTAGAAGAACTTTATTTCTTATTCATGGATATCTTAGTTATATTCTGATCAGTATTGATGAATCTTTTTATATGTCACTTTCAGATGTTGATTATGGAAAACAAAGTTTTACTATTTTCAAAGATGATATCATTTTACCTATTTTCAAATATGTATCAGACTAAAAGCCGTACTACATCTTCATTTATGTTAAGACTTTAATAGGCAATATTTTATAATGATGCAATTTTTCTCAAATCATAAGTGAATGTTTAAACTATATAGTTCTTCAAACTCTTATGCATCATCTACCAAAAACAGAATTAGGAATTTCTTAAATAACAATTTACAAGTATTTTCCCCATAAGTTTATTACTAAATGGAAATTGTATTTATAGATTTTCTGCAGTGCTTCAGTCTTTTTCTTGGAGAAACCAGATATACTAAGTTTGTCCATTGAAAGCCAAGGATTTTTTGCAGGCATTAAGGTATGTAGCTAGCTAGCAGTGTGGATGGGTGAGAAAGATGGTTCTTCTGTAAGTTATGTTTTCCAAAGTGTGATCTATCCATGGTGTATTGCTGGAGCTTATTACAAGAAGTTAACTCTCAGAAAAGTATGAACTTTAAAGAATATCCCAATAATTCTTATGCACAACAAAATTTGAGGATTCTCCCCTCTTTTCTCCTCCCCCACCCCTACACACACACACCGTGAGTAGGCTGATGTTGCCTCATGCCAGGGATCCCGATTTACAGCAGGGTTGTCTGCTATAAGTGCATCATAGGCTGGGAACATTGTTAGACCTAACTGTATGTAATGCACCACGTAATATAACAACACAGCACACACTGCGGAGTAGTGACTGCTCACCCATGTGACAATGGTGCTGTGGCCCATTGCCATCTGTCCAGCATCGGGGAAGAACACATTACAGCACACTGTTAGCCAGGTGAAAGACCAAATTTAATTCAAAACAAAAATTTGTAAAAGAGTTATATTCTTTTTTAACAAAAGTTAAAATAAAACAAAGACTTTAATCCTATAGTCCATTCTGTGGTATCCGTAAAAGTTAATGTATTGATATTTAGTGACTGTGTCATGACTACCATAGTATTAACCTAGAGCTTTGAGATTTAATAGAGTACAATGAAGTAACTAAAAACGGCAATAATTTAGGTATCAATAGATTGTGAGAGGTCTGAGCAACAGGATAAAACTTGCTTTTAGATAAAGTCCAGGTTTAAGCAGTAGGGACCAGGAAAAGAGGAAGAATGAACTACATTGTCAGAAAAACTCACCTAGAGTTGAAGGGAAAGCAAAGCTCAAACCCTGGGAATATAGTGCTGTGTTGGTTAGCACAGACAATGTCCAGGGCCAGTGGTCCACTCCCAAGGCCTGTTTCTAATTAGGCTAAGAGGAGGAATACTAAGAAACATCTGTTTTGAGAAGCTGGCTGGGTTGAAGTTGCAAAAAAAATTCCCAGCTTCCAGAAAGGATTAACCTGTGAACTGGAGTACAGCAAGTCCAAAGATGCAGTGGTATGACTCACTATGGAAAGGAGAGTCTCAGAAATAAAATGAGGGTTGAGAAGGTTCAGGTGATAACAATTTGATTGAGGTATTGAAACATTCCTCAACTTCTAATTAAGAGAGTGGGAACAAGTTCCATTTGTATGGCAGAAAACATTCGCAAACACAAGGAAGAAAACAGGAACCTTCTTTTTCATTCCCCAGTGCCTTCCACAGTCCAGAATTGTTAAGGTTTGATCACAATGCCTGACATTGGAGAAGCAAGTTGAGTCTACAATGAGAATACACTCAGAATACATTCCATGTATTCTTCAGTTTTTTAAAAAATTTTAGTCGGTTTGGTTTAGTTAAAAATTCCAGTACATAAGTTATTACCAGTTTATTTGGCAAAAGTGAGCAGTTGAAGATATGTACTTTTGAAATTATGTTTTAGAAATAAGTTCTAAAATGGTCACTGGTGCCTCACATCTTTAATCCTAGCTACTCAGGAGGCTAAGATCTGGATGATCACAAATTAAAATCAGTTCAAGCTGAAACTGAAAGCTGAAGTTAGTTTCAGTTCTTGAAACTCCATCTCCCAAGCAAAAACCAGAAAATGCCTGACTGGAGGCATGGTTCAAGTGGTAGAGCACCAGTCAAGCAAGTGTGAAACTTTAAGTTCAATCTGTTACTAAAAACAATATCTCTGAACATAACTGATCTATGTTCTCTTCTACCAGTTACAACCTGAATTGAGCACTATATCTGAAGATGGGAAGGAACATTGGCTGAGAATAGAGAGCACGATTCCAATTGTTTGTTCTGAATTTAGTGAGTTTGATCAAGAATGCAAAGTTTCATTAAAGTTGAAAACTGTTGATCAAGGTAATATACAAAATACATTTGACTTTATTATTATATTTCATATAGTAACTTAAGTCACTAGAGTGCACTCACGTAAAAAGTTAGGCTGCATATGTACATTAAATTATAAGTCAATATATTAATAATGTGGAATGAAATTGGTGATTTACTGAAGCAACTTGTATTTATTCTTCCTGGGTTCAAAGTAGATATTTAGAAACTAGTGACATCTTCATTATCATCTTTCACCTGGCTTTCTGCCTCTTCTCCCAATTATTTCTCATCCCTTTCTCCTCACTCTTCCTACTTATTCTTCTCTCTGCTTTGTTTTCAGATCAGAAGGGCAGTTTACTTTTTAAGATTTTCCACAGCATTCACAAAGAGGGAGGTGTGATAAGTTATGCTAAAAGTTCAAGCTTGTGCAACATGGATCTCAGTGCATTCTTCATACTTCTCTCCCTAATGTAAGCTTTTGTGGGGGTCTTTTGTCTTAAAATTCTTCTTTTCAAATTCCTAATCTTATAGGTGTTATGATGAATGGCCACATATACATCACTGTCAAAGCAAACCTCATCAAGAGAGCCAGAAATCATCCATTAGAATATGAGGAAAAACCAAGTATAGCAGTGGTTGGGTTGGTTATTTTTTAACTAATTAATTGGTTGAGGTCTTGTCCTCATTAATTAACTGTGATCAAAACAACAAAGTAGATGAAAATGGATCCTAGAAGAAGGATTACAATTCCATTCACATAATACATCTTAATCACAGAAAATAACATTTTTAGTTAATATACTAAACACACGCTACCCTAACACAAGTTTCTGCATTTTGATGTCCATATTATATTCTATTAAAGCAGAAAAATGAAAAAAATACATAAAATCCAAACGATATACCCCAGGGAAAGGATAGATCAAGAAATAGAAGAAATCTGGGAGGTTACTTGACAGTTATCCAGAATTACAGAATATACATTTCAGTTTTCAGAATACCCATTGAGAGAACTCACACTTCAGAAGCATTGAAAACTATGAAAATATACTTCCTCCCTCCGTCTTTCCCTCCCCCCCTCTCTCTTTCTCTCTCTCTCTGTTGGATTCTGCCACAATTCTACTGGAAATTACCTCTGAACACCTATCAGGCAAATACTGCTATAGTTGTTGGGAACAGAAAGAAGATGTTTTGATATTTTTCAAAATTCTATCAGGCAAAGATTTTCTTCAGTTATAAGCATACTTTAAAATATATTTGTATACTTCCCATTTTGTCAATAAAGCAAGCATTTTAATAATAATATAAAAGAAAAAAACAAAATAATATAAAGATAGTTCAATTTAAAGATAATATCAAGTCTAGTATATAGTTTGTTGTACTGCTTGTTCATTGGTTAAACATGAATTTCTCTTTATCTAGAGAAAAATTGCTCCTATTTCTTACATTTTCTTCCTTCAATGTTCTTCTAATAAGTCTCTCCTTTGCTAGAGAATAAGCCAGTATCCTTGAGAATTTCTATGTAGACTGCTGTGAGACAATGATTTTTCACAAAGAAAGAATACAGTACTCGACCCACATACCACAAATTCAGGAAATAATGTCATAGACTGTAACTAAGCCAGAAATAGTCCAAATTCACCTTTGGGAATTATTGGATTTCTGTTGTTTTTATCTATGTGAAAAAGTGTACACTCCTTAAAAAAGTCTATAAAGCAAAAAATTTTTCCAGGAATTTCAGTCTGGTACTTAACATGTGATCATTGTAATTTGTTATATAAAAAAAAATTCTGTGTGTGGAGAAGAAAACTTTTAACTTTTTCTTCGTCTTAATTCTCAGAAGGACATTGCAATTGCTGGTTGAAAGTGGAAATCTGTTCCCTTATGGGCCGCTTTTGGGGAGAATGTTCTTTCTGTTTAGTTTTACAGATGTCTGCCCTTGTTTTCTTCTCTTAGCAAATTCTCTTTTCTTTTTTAAATTACTTAAAAATTTGTTGACATAAATTATTTGTAAAAAGGGGTTTCTTTGTGATATTTATACACATGCATATAGTATACTTGGATCAAATTTATGCATCCAAATTACCTTTATTCTTTGTTCCATAGGTCAGAGAGTATCTCAAGATTCAGAATTTACTGGGACATTTGGGAAGTGAAATAAGATAATTTACTATTGCATGGGATCATCTTCATTGTTTCAATTTTTGTATTTTTAAACTGATGATTCCCATATAATTAAATCCATTGCTATCATTGAATAATGGATGAAACATAATATATATCCTAAACCATATTATATAAATATTTTGGTCCAAGACCGAAGCACTGGACAGAAAAAAAAGTTTACTATCAAGCAAGTGTGAGGCCCTAAGTTCAAGTCGTATTACTAGTAAAAATAACAACAACAACAACAAAAAAAGATTGAATCTTGATGCTAGGATACTTTTTTTTTTTTAAATAGAAACAAGGCTGGGAAGGTGGCTCAGTAGTAGAGTGCTTGCCTCACATGCATGATGCATGATGCCCTGGGTTCAATTCCTTAGCACCACATAAGCAGAAAAACTGGAAGTGGCTTTGTGGCTCAAGAAGTAGGGTGCTAACCTTAAGCTGAAGAGCTGAAGGACAGCGCCCAGGCCCAGAGTTCAGGCCCCACAACTGACAAAAAATTTTTTTTAAATAGGAACAAGGATAACTTCTATTTGGTTATTCCATCTTATTATACAGTATTTTCAATTTAACATGATATATGTGTGAAACTTCAGTATGCATTGTTCATATTACTGTTTCCATTTCCTTCTTACTTTGAGTTATTTACTGCTTTAGAATTTTATTTAGATGTGTATATATTTATATATTGAAGATTTATTGAGACTATTATTGTGGAAATGGTAATATGATAGAGAAGCAAATTTGTTCAAATTGCATTGTGAACATGCATAAACTATTATTCTCATGTATGCAAGTTCCTATATCAATAGTGCACACTATTTGGAATAAAATTTTAAAAAGTAATATTTGGGTATGGCAGGATTTTCTTAAAATCTGTGTTTGTTTCTCTCAAGAGCATTAACATATTTGGTTCCTAATTATAATGTTTATTTTAATGTCATTACTAACAATGAAGCTATTAAATTTCACATTAGATTATCCTTTGAAATAACAAGTGTTTAAAAGTCACTTGAAATAGTTATTTTGTTTTGTGTTTACTTACCAATTTAGCATACACTTTTATAGTCGTGTATTTTATGTTTTCAATATCTACTTGGCTCAAAATCAAAATAATTATTAAAACGATCTGTTTTTGAATTATTCTTCCAGTATTTCTCTAAGCAAAGATAAACATACTTACATAAACACATAAAATAAATTATTAATATGTATGTATTGTGCATTAGCTTATTTTAAAATTTAGACCAAGATTGAAGCAATAATTTTAAGTATTAAGGTAATTTAAGTATTAAGGTAATTTAAGATTTCCAATTTAATGTTTCATGTTAATCAAGTGACCATGTTCTTTGGTTGGTTAGGGGATATTCTTGGAAGAGCTTTTAATTTTATTTCCCATTAAAATAGGTAATGAACAACTAGGCTTAAATTTGGCATTGTCTTCCTGTCATGTGGACCTGCTCCAGACTTCATCCTGTACCAATGGAACCTGTAGCCATGCTATTGTACACTATATGGCTGTCACAGACTTTTCCCGAGATGGAGATAGAATTACAAACATTGAAGTACAGCCTGTAGTCAAGGAGAACTTCTTGTGGAGCAGCTACATTCCAGATGGCATTCAGGTGGAAAATTGCAAAATGATCTTTATAACTTAAATATTAAAAAACATGTGTAAGCCCGGCACCAGTGGCTCCTGCCTGTAATCCTAGCTACTCAGGAGGCTGAGATCTGAGGATCAAAGTTCAAAGCCAGCCTGGACAGGAAAGTCTGTGAGACTTTATCTGCAATAAACCACCAGAACAACAGAAGTGGCTCTGTGGCTCAAGAGCTAGAGCTCTAGCCTAGAGCCGAAGAGCTGAGGGACACGCCCAGATCCAGAGTTCAAGCCCCATGACTGACAAGAAAAAAAAGACATTTGTATTTTATCACTGATTCTTATAATTTTTTTGTTTAAAATTATTTGCTAAATGATGTTAGTCTTTAAATGATTTGATTTTCAATAACTTTAGTATAAAGCACAAGTTCATTGAAAATTCAGTGCAATTATGAAGCAATTTGTTGTCATTAAACCGGTGGTAATATTCATTAACAATATGTTTATTTTTCAGATAAAAGTCAAGGATATTCCAACTGCTTACTGCTATTCATTTACTGACCCCCATATAATTACCTTTGATGGCAGGTAGATTCTTGAAAGTTTTTTTTCTTTTAATAGTTTTTGTTTGTTTGGGTTTTGATAGCATTTTTTAAACATCCTACTGTTTTATCATTTCTTAGTCTCAGTCACAAAAAATTTAAAAGGAAGGCAAATATGGCCCTTGTTGACTGATTTTAAGATGCTAGTCTATTTGTATAGATTTTTCATCTTAAAACTAATGCTTAGTAAAAAAAAATGGACAGATTGTGAACTTGAAGTTGTAGAAAGGAAGATTATTATAAAATTTGCTTGGTCATTTACTTTAGTAATGATTAAATTATTTGCACCTAAATATTTACCTGTTGATTTCTTATAAGAAATCATCTGTGCGGTTTATACAAAATACATGAATTAACACACTAGATATAGCTTAGAAACATTATTCTTAATTAGTTATAAACAAATGCCTCATTTTTGCCTCTGAAATTTAAGTAAAAATAGACAAAATGACCACAAAGTAATCTAAGCTATCCTGCTATTAATGTCTGCCTAGAAAGATTTAAACTCAATTTTGCTGCTCTGGGAAGTTCATCATACCAAGAAAAAACTGATGGAAAAAACTGATACCTCATTGTTGAGTTATATTATCTTATGATGCAAAGTACTTTCTTTTAATTGGCATGTGATCAATAAAAATATTATTCTGTATGAGTGAATAGATGGAAAATCCCAAGAAATAAAATAAGGCACTCTACAGATTCAAGCAAGTATTGAGAAGTTATCATAAATCATCTCTTATACAAAAATCTTTTATGGTTATAATTTAAAACTCAGAAGTTTTGGTGAAAAAAGGGTTCAAGAATGCATAGTGGTGATAAATTTAAACCAATTTAACTCAACAAGTCAATTATATGGCCATTAGATTATAAGCCATAGTCCTAGCATAGCACTGTACAGAACAGATAAATTCTCCCTGCCCCCATGAAGTTGATCTTGGAAAGGATGAGGAAAGAGATGAACACAATTAATCATTATAATATACGAAGTGTTTGTGGTAAATACACACCATGAAGAAAACTAGAAAAGGGTGGGAAGGAGAGGCTGGAAATATGGCTTGTAATTTATATCAAAACAGACTGGTTCCACAAAGCCATTAAGTGAGGGTAGTATTTGGACAAGTATTTGAAGAAGAAGAGGAAGACAACCATGCATTCACAGTTAGCAAGCCTGTCCTCCACCTCCAAGCAGCCTCCCTGGTGGAAGGGAAAATGAGTAATGGGAAAATTGAGGTGTTTGATTCGTGCATGCAAATAGATGTTCATGACACATAAAGCTATTGGAAATCTAGATTTTTCATGTTAACATTGAAATATATTGAATGCGTATAACTGTATTGAGTGTATACTTTCTGTTTATGACATATTATTGTGATATTTATACTGACTCTTGATGCAATTTTTGTTAATGATAGGGTATATGATAACTTCAAGACTGGAACATTTGTGCTTTATAAAAGTACAGCACGTGATTTTGAAATCCATGTGCGCCAGTGGGACTGTGGAAGTCTTCACTATCCTGTGTCATGTAACTGTGGGTTTGTTGCCAAAGAAGAAGGTGATGTAGTTACTTTGGATATGTGCAATGGAAAGTTACATGAATCACAACCATACTTATTTGTAAAGAGCCATGATGCATCCAGCAATATCAAGATAACTGAATCTTACTTAGGAAGAAAAGTCACAGTATGTATGATTCTTTAATATTGAAACCATTTTCCTTCTGAATGAATTCCTATTCATTCATCTCTATTAAATTAGGAGCTAGTATTTTTATATTAATTTGTTCAGGAAAAATGGCATTTATATTAACTATGATCTTGGAGTAAAAATCTTTTCATCTACTACACAGAACTAAATACAATGTAGCTAAAACTGTTAAATTGACATTTCAATTGCTGCCTCATTTGACATTTCAATATGATAACTCTTTGGATTATTCACAAAAAGTAATTTTGATAGAATCTAAAAAATATGATAAAGATGAAAGACATAATTAAAAATGAATATTCAGGAATACTTAGCCATTTCAAATGTCAGTAATAGGCTCATGGGTAAGTAGAATTGCACAATGTCAAAAGGGAAGTGTCAGGTTCGACATTTGTGACTCATGATCTGACTTCTTTTCTATGATCTCAACATTGCTGGATATTACTTAGAAGTTTAGAAAAAACAGTATCATAAATATGACCATTTATTTTCATACTTGTTTTTCAAAAGTTCCTTCCTGGTTTTACTCAACTATAAGAAAAATTCTTTAGAATGTTCTAAGAATACTCTATGAATGCTTTCAGAATAACTGGGGGAAATGTTTTTTACTTGTAGTATTTAGGAAGATTAACCTTAAAACAATCTTAACTGTATCTACTCTTGTTTGTTTTTTCAGATCTGTTGTATTTGTAAATAGCAACCAATAAGCCTCCTAAAAAGTGTTAGTAGAAGTCAACAGAATGCATACTAATAAAAAAAAGTAAAAATAAATTCAAATAGATCCAAACTTATATATTCATTAATATTTTAAGATAATATTTCATATCTATCAGCTAACTAAACCTTAAGGTCATATTTATTTCTCCTCAATTTTCAAAAGAATGATTTCAAGGTATATAATTTAAATGTAAATAAAATATGGTAACATGATGTTTTATGAGCCTTATTTAAGGGAACAATAACATATCTGAATTCAATCATAAAAAAAACAAAATGCAAATCAATAATTTGGGGCATACTTATTACATGTAGAGCACAGTTAATACACATCTCTTAAGACCAGCCTGGAGTGAGATTCTGTTAGAGAAGATGATAGATAGATAGATAGATAGACAGACAGACAAACAGATAGATAGAGCGAGCAACATATATATATATGTAATTAAAAAAAGAAACAGTACTGGAAAACACTGTCTAACTGTACAGTCAACAAAAATATAAATTTATTACTTTTTTGTAATTAAATAACATAGAGCAAACATCTCTCATAAAGCACTGGCAAAATTAGAGATAGTGAAACTAGTCTTTCTAGAGGACATACATATTTTATATGCTCCTACCCTAGATATGTATTTCATTTTGCCAAGCATTTTATTTTTGGAAAACTATTATAGTGAAATAATTAAGTATGTATATAACCCCAATAATAATCCTTCTATCTCTCTTGTAACAGGAACAATTACAAGTAATCAGTGATTAATAACTAACACTCTAAATATAATGACCAAAGAGTAAACAATATTATAGTTGCGAAAATAATAAAGCACATGTGTATATATTGACAAAGAAACTGTTGAAGAATTTACACTGAGATCTTCACATTAGTTACTCTGAAGATGAATGTAACATTTCTCTGCATTTAATTATTGGTAAAACATACCATTTTAAAAATAAAGAAGTATTATTTTCATTAAAAGCAAATTAGTAACAGCACAGTAATCAGAAAAGCAAATATAGGTAGTATATCTTTTGTGACTTTTGATTTGAAGTGATTATTTTTCCTCCGCATCTGGTCTGGGCCAGGTGAATTCCACAGACCCAGACAAGTGGCACCTAGTCAGGTGATACAGGTTACCACAGTCACGCAGCAAACTCTTCCCACACTAATTGCCAATTCCCCAAGAAGCCTCTGCTTATAATTGGCTTCTGATTCTATTTACCTACTAGCAACAAGAGAATGCCGGTTAGCCACAGGAACATGTTCTCTAGAGTTACGTGTATTGGTATGAATTAATTACTTGGCAGTCTAGTCACTTATTAAATAACTACTATCAGAAAATGACTGATCTGTAACTATCCTGGTTTTATAAAATACTATCTTTTAGTTTAAAAAATTAAAAAGGGAGTTGAATGCACTGTATCTCCAAAAATTAAAAAGATAAAAGATTAATATGGTAACCAAATTTCAAATGAGGAAAATGAAAAAAAATATTCTTTTGAAACAAACTAATATTTTGTTCTGTTTATGATAGGAATAAGTGAATTTGTTCCCTAGGTCCTATTTTTAGTCCATATTGCATGTTAATTGACATCTTTGATTTCCTCAATGCTTACTTCTGTGTTTCAGATTTGGTTTTCTTCTGGAGCATTCGTCCGTGCTGACCTTAGTGAATGGGGTGTCAGTCTCACCATCAGAGCCCCTAGTTCTGATTACAGGAAGACTTTGGGACTCTGTGGTACCTTCGATGGAAATCCTGAAAATGATTTCCATGATAAAAATGGAATCAAATTGGATGAAAATTTTAATGATTTTATTAAGGAATGGAGGTAAGAAATGAACCATTGCAATTACATTAAGATGGAAGTTAAATGAGTGCTGATTCAATATTCTTCCTTTCTGCACGTCATTGCTTGGAAAACGTTTTTGTTCAAATCCTTCTTTTCTGTTTTTCTTCTGGAAGGATTGTACCTGGAGAGAGCATGTTTGACACTTTGCCAACTTCTCTCACATATCCTACAAGACTCTCTTATTGTAGCTGTTCACTGGGATCTGCATCTGAGCACTCATTTCCTAATCATGCTTACAGTGTTTCTCAGTCAGAAATTGCTTCTGTTTGTGAAGATATCAGACATGTTCTGTTCTCCTCTTTGATACCAGAACTAGATGTCACTTCAGAATACATTAAGACCTCTGAGGACTTGAACCTAGAAGCTCTTGACAGAGGAATAAATAAGCACACATCTGGAGATGAAAATAAGTTGGATTTCTTGTTGCAAGAAACAATGCTTGCAAACCTAACCAAACTGGACTTGAATTTACAACATCCTGGGAATGGAAAACAAGATGCACCAGAATATTTGGACAAGGAGAGAAAGAACCAAGAGAGTTACAGCCAAGACTTGAAGTGGAATCAGCTACACCGATGGAAACGACAAGACGTTAATGAATTTCTGCTTTCGCTGGCTTTTCAAAGTCACAATCAAATGAACCTGGAAAAGTTTACTTACTTTTTCCCCGAGGATCATGTCGAAGATGCCCATCAAGAATTTGTCCCCTCGTGGCCCACACCTTCTGGTCTTACCAAATCCAGCACCTTGGCTCTCTGTCAGCAGACGCTAGCCAACTCCAGCATAGGAAGGCTCTGTCTTGCTTTTCTTGGCAAGAGACTAGATCAGGCCATTGACATGTGCGTTAAGGATGTTCTTCTAAAAGATGATGCTAGCTGGACAGAAGCCAGTCTGGCACTTCTGGAAAATGAATGTGAAAAGAGAGTTTCAGAAGAGAGAAAATGGAACAAGGAAGAACTTGAAGACGTTCTCCTGGTATTAAAATGCCCAGGCTTATGCAGTGGCAATGGGCAGTGTATGGAATGGGGATGTATGTGTTTTCCTGGCTTTAGTTCCTACGATTGCAGTAAATTGTATGGTGAGTAAATACCTTCCAACTGTGAGATTGTGACATTCAGTTATGCGAGTGATTCGCTCTGTTTTATCTTTAGTATGTTAGAGCTTATAAAGATTACATAAGGCAAGATCCATATTGCATTCATTATTACAGTAATGATTTCTCCTGATTCACTGTAATAGGTGAAATTCTTACAACTGCCTGTAAGCACATTAGGATCTCGAGTGCCATGTCTTTCCAGGCCCAAGCCCTTCCTCTGTCACCCTATTGTTCTCTCCAGACCCTGTGGTCTCTGTGCTGTTCTTTGGAAATGCCAGGCTTTTGGCTGGGGGTATGACACAAATGGTAGAGCACTTGCCTAATAAATGCAATAATAGGCAAAAGCAGCAATTGTTAGGTAGTAATACTAACTACTATATCTATAATGAGATTATTATTAGTTTTAAAATACCAGATGTATAATGGGTTAATTCAATATTAAATACATGCTAGCAATTAACTAGTTTAATACTACTAGCTAAACTATTTTACTACAAAATACAGTACCCTACTGAAATATTTTCTTACAAATATACATTTTTTCCCTTAGTCTGCATATATAATGTAAACTCATATGCAAGCCAAAATGTATTTTGTTAAGGTAGTTATTAGTACCTCTCCTTAATTAATGATAAATATTTTAAAAACCTTAACAAAATGCATATTTAGATACTGATAGTATCTATACCATCCTTTTTATTGGTTTGATGGTAGATGTTAGCATTTCTGTTAATACCAGATTACAATTAATGTGTAATGGGTTAATTCCTATAAAATATTTTGAGTAAGCTTTGAAATATTATCTTATGTATGCTTTTAATTCGGGCCTTGAAACTAATTGTTCTGACTTTTTGTGTTATTTCTTCTATTTTGTTCAAAGATAAGACCCCTGAAATAACTGAACTTGAGAATGCTGGATTCTGTGATGTTCAGAGATATAACTGTGTGATGGTCAGAGTTTTTGGTGAAGACTTCAAGACTTCTATTAAGTGTGAAGTTACCAAGCTGCAAGTATGATTATTATGGACTTTATGACAAAACATTTGAAACAATTGAGTTTAAGAATAATTCAGACTCATTTTATCTCGGTTTAGTTTTGTCAATTAGTTAGCAGAAAACCCCCCAGAAGACATTAAGTCCACAAAGTCTACAGAGAAATTCCTTTGTTCCTTAAGTTTAAGATTTATCTTTTTAATTGGATGTGGTGGCTCAAACCTGCTATTCCAGCTATGCAGGAGGTAGAGAAAAAGGAAATTATGATTTCAGGCTAGCCTGGGCAAAAGGTTAGCAAAAATCCATTCCAACAAACAAGCTAGGCCTGGTGGTATAAAAACCAAGCACTGGGATGCAAATTTATAATCCCAGCTCTATGAGAGGTCTAAGTAGAAGACTCCAGCCTGAAGCCAGAACTGAGCCAGACTTTACCAGAAAGATAAGCCAGCCTCCCCAGAGGAGGCTGAGGGCTGTGGTTGAAGTGGTAGCGCACTTGCCTCACAAGTGAGGATGTAAATTCAAATTCCAGTACTGCCAACAAAAAGCTGCCTTATTTACAAATTCTATTGAGATATTTTACATCATTGCTATTGAAATACAGACTTACTAGTTACAGTCAAAATAACAAACTAAAAGGATATCAAGAAATCTCTGTCTGATTTTACTATCCAGATGGCAGTTTCCTCTATGCTTCCAAAAGATAAATTTCAAACCCTTTCTGCATAGCCCTTCAAGACGAGGTTAAGCCTTAGTGGCTTTGTTTTCATTACACATTATTTCAATCTCAGTGATAGCAATGATAAAGTGGCATATTGTGTGGTTTTCCACGTTCTGTTTCTTTACATAAGAGTATCCAAAGCATGTACTAGAAACTCACAGGATATTTATGAGTAGTCAGGACATATAATCCTGTTCATTTGGGGTAGACCAACATTAGAGGGTACGAAAACTAAAATCAGTTTCCACATCACAAACCAAGGGGACCTTGCATTCCTGAAGTACAATGACTACACCAAGACATTCCATCCTCTGCTAGAGAAAAACCACTGTCAGATCTGCAATCAAATAAAGAAATTTATATTATGGCTTATTTTTCAATCTCCAATTTTCAACATGGTGGTTTCTACAAGCCACACACTAGAATGTGCTTGGCTATCTTTGTTTTTGTTTTTGTTTTTTTTTTTTCTGCTGTCCTGCAGTATTGAGCCATCAGCATACTGCATGACCAGTGATAAATGGGGGAAAATACTCTACAACCAAAACAATTTTACGTGAAAACCTAACATTTGCAACAGAATATACTTTCTTTCCATATAATTACTAGTTGTCAGAACAAAATTATTCTGACTTTTCCAGTTTAGGCCCTATGGTATTTTTACAACACTGTAAAACAATATCTAAAGTGTAGCTTATGCATTACATGCCACTGAGTTCATAAATAGGAGTAACTAGTTAGAATTTTACTTTTAAATGGTGTATAAAATAGTTCAAGCAAAAAGGCCCCTTTAATGAAGATTGTACATTTCTTATAGAATTGAGGAGAAGAATATAGACAAATTCCCAGAGGGAAAAATAACTTGAACGTGTTGACATTTGGACACTGTGACAAAAATTTACTTGCAAATTTTTATCAGTTCTATTCTTTCTGGGCTTCATTTTTCATTTTTCTATACACTTGTTTTCTACATATACTTTACATGGTCAAGAGTAGTTCCACAGTTCTATCTGGAATCTCAAGCCACCAGAGACAAACTGGTCCAACATTCTGTTTAGTATAAAGTTGAATTATTCCAAGGAGTGAAAGCACTAACTTTGTTAGTCCTTCCCCTGAACAAGAGAGGGATAGTCAGGGAGGTGGATTGTATGACATCCTAAGAACTTAGTACTACCCATAACGAAGAGGGACAAAGGCAATTTCAAGTAGATGAAGAAGGCGTGAAGTTCTACAAGAGAAAACGAGAAAGTTTTAGATGAGAAAATCCATCCATTAGGCGTTATCTATGTAGTCAGGTGTGTGTTCTTTTGCTCCAAAAATCATTGCACAGTGATTCATCATATATGCAAATATTGATCATTTCTTCAAGTTGAACACTGAAGTAAACACACACTTATTAGGGGCAGTTTATATTCACTTACAATGTCTATGTTTTCATTATTTTGAGTGCAGTTCACTCTCCATAGGTTTTTGTTTCTTCATTGTATATTCTATTGTGGTAGACATATACCTTAACGTTTGTATTTGACCATATGTAAGTCACTATCTGAATATTTTTCTGGTTTAACAGAAATTAATTTCTTTCTCATTTAATGCCTTCAGTATAATGGCCATAAATGGGTGCTGGGAGAATCCATCTCTGTTCAGACGATCTTTCAGAGCAGCAGAACTGTTGATTGTCACTTACCAACTGAGGTCCAGCAGGCTAATTCCATGGATCTGATGGGTGAGAGCTCAGTTGTGAAGTGGCAGTTAAAGGTAAAGTGGTAACAACAATAAAAGATATATTTTTATTTATAAACATAGTACATAGTCATGAAAATTCCTGAGTTTATGATGCTACATTCAGAACAAATCATCTTACTATAGAACTGCATCTTGCAGGTGTCTAATGATGGTTACAAATATAGTAATCCCAAAGTATTGGTCATATACAATGGAACTTGTCAAATTTGTGGTCCCTATGAAAATGACTCATGTACTATCAAGGTATGTATGTTTTCACCTACTTGCACATTTTCTCACTGGAAGTCTTACTCCCTATGCTAATGCTATATCTGTTGTAGTTTTTCCACCTTTATATTAGAAAGACATAGAGAAATGCCTTCCTCACATTTATAAAAGGTTAATTGTAATTGTTCCTTTTTCTATACTGAAATGACAGATAAGAGGTAAGCATCACTATTTTGATTGGCCGGTTCTTTCCTTCCTTCCTTCCTTCCTTCCTTCCTTCTTTCCTTCCTTCCTTCCTTCTTTCCTTCCTTCCTTCCTTCCTTCATTCCTTCCTTCCTTCCTTCCTTCTTTCCTTCCTTTTCTTTTTTTTAATGATAAGAAAGGGCCAAATTTTCTTAGATTATATGGGTCATGCATACAGATTGTTTATTTCTAAAAAATTAAAAGATGAGGTTCATACTATACGGATTGTTTTTTAGTAGCAATTTTTTTCATATCAGATGTCTCTGTTGTTAGTTACTTTTATGGCAAAAGGTAATCAGTTGACTAGAGCTTGTATAAGGTTAGAACTTTTACAGAGAAGTGTTTTATTTGTTTTTATATTATCCCTTCCATTTTGTTTTTATCTCTCTCTTTTTTTTGTCAGTCCTGGGGCTTGAACTCAGCTCTTCAGCTCAAGGCTAGCACACTACCATTTGAGCCACAGTGACACTTCTGGTTTTCTGGTGGTTTATTAGAAATAAACTTTCCTGCTTTGAACCGAGATCCTCAGATTTCAGCCTCCTGAGTAGTTAGGATTACAACAGTCATGAGCCACCAGTGCTGGGCTTTTTTTTTATCTTTAAGTAGTTATCCAAAGGGGTTACCAATCAACATGTTAGTTTCTAAGTAAGATGCATCTTAATGAGTGTCTCACCTTTCCTTATTCTTCTCCTTTCCTCCCATCTCCATCCCCGAGCGTTTTTTTTTTTTTTTTGTCGGTCGTGGGGCTTGAACTCTGGGCCTGGGCGCTGTCCCTCAGCTCTTCAGCTCAAGGTGAGTGCTCCACCACTTGAGCTACAGCGTCACTTCCAGTTTTCTAGTGGTTTATTGGAGATAGGAGTCTCACAGACTTTCCTGCCCAGGCTGGCTTTGAACCACAATCCTCAGATCTCAGCCTCCTGAGTAGCTAGGATTACAGGCGTGAGCCACCGGTGCCTGGCAAATTTTTTTTTTTTGGGAGGGGAGTCCTGTCGTGGGGCTTGAACTCTGGGCCTGGACGCTGTCCCTCAGCTCTTCTGCTCAAGGCTCGCACTCTACCACTTGAGCCACAGCACCATTTCCGGCTTTTTTTTTCTGCTTATGTGGTGCTGAGGAATCGAACCCAGGGCCTCATGCATGCAAAGCAAGCGCTCTACCACTGAGCCACCTTCCCAGCTCTAGATTATTATTATTTTTTTTGACAGCTAGATTCTTCGGGCTATGTAAACTAAGATCTTCCCACTATACTCTCATCTTTATGTCTATCTAGTTTACTGGGCTTTTATTAAATAAATGAATTGATTACTTAACAGATACCAGAGACCCAGTATTATTCAATCTCAAAATTGATGAGCATACAAGTTTTACACACACATATACACACACACACACACACACATATACTCTCTCTCTCTCTCTCTCTCTCTCTCTCACACACACACACACACACACACACACACAATGAAGTTCTGGTTCTTGAGAAGCTGATTTTATTTTTACTGCTTATCTCATTGACATATCAATAAGTACTTTCTAAATATTGTTATACAAGATTGTGCTATTTTTGTTTCTTTGTATGTTCCTCCCCCATGGTACAACCCCTGTTTTCACTGTATTTGATGTCTGTGCCCTGCATTTTCTTGGGCTATTTTTATTCTAGTTCTTATTTAGTATTCTAAGTAATATCTAAGGAGATTTTGTAAAATAACAGTGTTTATAGTCAAATTTGGATTTTCAGAATAAAATTTGGTTTTCTCAAACTAAGAAAGTCTGCTACATTGAATGTTCTTTTTCTGAATGCCATAATCTCCTTCAACTATTTTTTGTAATATTTTTTGTAACATAACTACAAATTAATGTGAATTTTTAGGACACACAAAAGAAAATGACAATTTGTTATTTAGTAAAATACTTTCAGCATAAGTTTATCAGTGAAAAGAAGTTTTTCCTCTCATGTTATTTATAAGCTATTCACTATATTTTTTTTACAGTTCCCATGTATTCTTCCAGGTAGATCAATTCCATAGGCATTTATACCTATTACAGGAAATAATTTATCTTCTAGCACACACTTATAATTACAAGATAAAAAAATTGTAATCAAATCAGAGCTATACTACACTTTATTGGAATCATCCTTCTATATGTTGCTATAATCTATCCACAATTTTTATGTACTAGCTATAACTTGTCTTTATTGTTATTTTCCTTTTTAAAAATTTTTCCACTAGGAAACTGTTTGTGTTATAGATGGGCTCTGCTACGCTGAAGGCGACAAAAATCCAACTATGTCATGTTTGATTTGTAAACCACAAACCTCAAAATTTACTTGGTCCTATTTAGAAAGTAAGTTATTGTTTATTAATGCATATATTTCATGTATTAACTCATATATATGGATCAGTTTTAGAGTGTATTTGGACCAGAAGTCACAGAAATGTGTTTTAGATAGATGAACACTTTATCTAATTAGCATTTTTCCTAACACTGTATTTTAATTTGCTGTCAGAAATATGAGTTTATTTTGTAAACTGTCATGCATTGGGTATTAACATTTGGGTCAATGACAGGTCACAGATACGATGGAGAGCCCATAAAATTATATCACCTAGTGACATCATAGCTGCCTGACTTTGGGAACTGAACTTTATGATAGTGACAAAATAACAAAATTATCTAAAAATCCATTTCTCAGAACTTCACCCCCACCGTTAGTTATAAGTGGGTGCCTTTTTTAAAATGGCTGTGTTATGACCAATTTATGAAGATCCATAATGTTTTGAGGATGAGGAAATTTTGAAAACAAACCATGCTGCTTATTAAAACATACCCTTGGCAGAATGGGGGCAGAGCCGTGGCCTTAGTGCTTCATTGATGTAGCAAACACAGTGCTGCTTAGTAGAGTCACTTAATTCTGCCTACATAAAAACGGTGTTAAATTATTTTGTAAGCGTAAGGGGAGCCCCCAGATACAGTCACTTTATTAGTGTGTGTGGCTGGCCACAGGGAAGGCTCTGAAGGAGCAAGGGAGTTATATAATTAATGGCTCTCATTAATTGGGAAAGCAGGTTCAGTGATGAAAACTGAGGGAGTCAAATAAGAAAGATAGTCTAAGCCAGGCGTTGGTGGCTCACACCTGTAATCCTAGCTACTCAGGAGGCTGAGATCTGAGGATCACAGTTCAAAGCCAGCTTGGGCAAAAAAGTCTGTGAGACTTTTATCTCCAATTAACCAACAGAAAACTGGAAGTGGTGCTGTGGCTCAAGTGGTAGAGCACTAGCCTTGAGCTGAAGAGCTGAGGGACAACACCCAGGCCCAGAGTTCAAGACCCATGAGCGACAAAAAAATAAAAAAGAAAAAAGAAATATAGCCTAGACAGTGAAGGAGTGGAAGGAGAACGTTCATGAAGAGAATGTGTGAGAGAGAACACACAAGTGCTCATCAGCAGAGAGATTGTGAACACAGAGGAGGAAGCAAAAAGGAAGTGCATCAGTATGGGAAGTCTATCCATCACGGCAGTAGCAATGTACTTAGGCATTTCATGCTGTATCTAAAGTGTTTTGATGCTTCCATAGCCAAACTTGTGGTTTGCACGTGACAGTTACTTTTACATTTTCTTAGAATGGAACTCAAGTTGCTCTGCTTAAAAGACTGAAAGGAGCTAATAGAGCTTTTTAATCAGAGTTTAGCTTCAACAGCCTCTCTACTGGACTCTGAATCATGTTTTTTTTTTTTTTTTCTTTTTTACACAGGCACAAAATTAAATGCTCTCTCTGTTACAGGAAACCAACCTCCTATGATTCAATCCTTGCAAGACAAAATACAGACCTTTTATGGAGAAAATTTTGAGTACCAGATCATGGCCCTGGATCTAGAAGGTTCTGAGATCCATTTTACATTGGATTCTGGTCCTGAAGGAGCAAGTATTTCTTCTGCAGGACTTCTTACATGGAAAGCAGAGGCACAGATTCCCCCACCATTCTCCATACGCCTTCAGGATGACTGTGGTGCTGAGGCAAATGTCAAAATTCAGGTCATACTTGTAATTACATTATTATCACTGGGTCCTCTGCTAAGGAAACATATTGTCTTAATTTCAAACAGCAATAAAGTTCTTTACCATTGTATGCTTGATAGTTCCTTGAAACCTTAGAGACAGTGAGGCCCAGAGCCTGGATCTAAGTGAACAATCTCCACCATTTTATTCTGTACTTAACTATGATAAGGAAGCAGAACTCATTCATTTCCACCTCCACTAATGGCCTCTTAGTAAAATGAGAACAATAATTATACCCTTTTCTTCAGATTAAAGACTTTCATATTCTAGTTACTTTTGCTCACTCATCAATGTGACTATCATAAACTTTAAAAATTTGTACACTGTTTATAAGCCATAATTGTCTTGGGGCTTGGGATATAGTGTTTTCTTGACATTAGAAAGGATATGTATTCCATACCATGATAATGTAGGAATTAAAGTCATCATTTTCTCTCTAGATTTGAGAATAATCAGAGTAATTAATTGGTTCCCTGGTGGGTGATTTCCCCTCTAATTATTTAATTTACTTTATAACAATTGATCATCTTTCTTACTGGGTGTGGTGGTATGTACCCATAATCCCCAAACTAAGGAGACTGAGGCCAGAAGAGCACAAATCAAATATCTTCTCAGGCTACATAATGTGACACCAGCTTAGATGCATAGAGAGAATATATCTCAAAAATAATAAGGGTATAAAGAGAATTTGTGGGTGGAGTCAAGACTCAAGCAGAAGATCGCTTGTGTAGCAAACGAGCTCTTGAGTTCAATCCCTGGTACAAGAAAGAAGGAAAGATGGGAGGAATGAAGATAAGAAGACAAGAAGGCAGGAAAGAAAGAAGAAAGGAAGGAAAGAAGAAAAAGAGGAAAGAAAGAAAAGAAAGAAGAACACATGAACAAAAGAAAGGAAGAAAGGATGAACTTGATCATCGTGGAAAATTTCTTGAAATATTGTCATCAGTATGTATGTTTTGGTTGTGCTCTTGACCCTGGGCATAAGCTGCCTTATTAAATTATTTTAATATCTTATATGTAATATATATTGCAAAAAATACCTGATTGGATCATACACAAAAAATATACATGCCTATTAGGGCATTGACTGAAGTTAATTTTATTTCAAATATTTATTTTTTCTTTTGTAGGTGGCTGTAAAATCTTGCGACTGCTTGAATGGTGGATTGTGTGAGTCCGACAGGAGCTTTCCTCCAGGGAGTGGCGCATACTTGTGTGTCTGCTTGCCTGGCTTCCAGGGTGGTCGTTGTGAAGAGGATGTCAGTGAGTGCCAATCAAACCCTTGTGGCCTTGGCAGATGTCATAGAGGTTTTGACAGTTATTCTTGTGAGTGTCCACCTGAGTTCAAAGGTAACTTTTGGTTCATCATGAACTAAGTCAGAATATGAATCAATTTGAAATGGAACAGCAATGAAGAAACTATATGAATTCTTGATTCATTTCCTATAGGAAAAAACTGTGAAGAAGATGTTGATGAGTGTAAATCTGGGCCTTGCTTTCCAGGAGCAGAATGCTTCAATACCTTTGGCTCCTATTATTGTAGCTCATGTCCAAAAGGATTTTATAGTGATGGGAAAACATGTCACAGTAAGAGTTCCTATTTTCTTTTCTGCTATGGGATGATTTCTGATGCATTTAATTTATTTGAGTGAGTTGACTCCATTCTCTCATTCACTCCTGTGTTACCTTGGTGCATATGCATCATCTTGTAAACTGAAATAAATGAAGAGGATACAGAAATGTAGGAGACATGTACTCTGATTGAATAGGCAAGAATGGAGTATCAAGGAATATGACTAGTGATCACAAATCGCAGTAAGGGATTCTTTGTTTTTGAATAGAAGTACAGCATGAATAGAAGGAATGGTATATAGGGCATCATGGCTTCCTGGAAGGATAAGAAGACACTTGAAAAAGGAAATATCTAGTCTATGCTAGAACTATAGGATCTGCAGGGTAACGAAGAGAAAAAGCATTCTGGAAAGATGGAGCAGCACGGGAAAAGGCACAGGGGCCTGGAGCACCACAGGATGCCTGGGACCTTGTAAATAATTCACTAGGAAAACGAATCAAGGAGAGCTCCTAAGAGAGTTGAAGCTGGAGACAGTCAGCAGACAGACATAGGGGAATCATGTAAAGTTTTGAAAGGAGAAGTTTGGTAAGGTTTGCATTTGAGAAAATTATTTTTAACTAATACAGAAGAATGGATCATTTATGAATAAAGAATGACACCAGTCTAAAGGTAAGAAAGGTCATAACAATGTTCATTCTCATTGAGATTCTTATTCTCAAGGTTATTCCCTACCAGTAAGGAGAAAGGGATGTCAGCAGCATGGAAAGACTTAATTCTGAGGGCAGAATTGACTGGAGGTGTGTGAGTGGTACTAAGGACAGTTCTGTTAGTCAGCATGAGCTACCGTGACAGACAACCAGACACTGAATGCTGCTCACTCAACTGTATTTTTCCCCCTCACAATTCTAGGTAGAAGCTCAAGATGAAGGTGCTGGTTTAATTGGTTTCAGGGAGAGCTTCTTGGATTTCAGAGAGCTATCTTCTTCCGTCTTTCCTCTGTGTGTGCTTTTCTAGTTCCTCTTTTGCATTGTAGGATAAAAGTCCTTTATATCATGGCCTCTCTCCTCTTACTCATGTAACTTTATCCCTTTTGGCTGTTTAGGTTTGAATTTTCAATCACCCTAAAGGAGCATTCAGTAACTGGTACATGCTCTACCCACAGTCCCACTACTACTAAAATCCTCTTGGGCAAAGAGAGAATCTCCCACTTGCCATTAAACTCAATTATGAATCTCATGGGAAATTTGGAGAAAGCTGTTTCTTCAGGTTATGAATATGTGGACAAGGTTCTCAGTGCAAATCTGAGTCTGGATAAGCTACAAGTTCCTGCAAATAACAGTAGTCTTTTAAGCATTCATGCAAAAAGCTCCCGTGGTAATGTATAGGACATTTTCCAGAGTGTGGATTATGTTTTACGTTTTAGGTGGATTAAGATTAAGTTTTAAATATATTAATTCAATGCATAGGACTGATTCTGTAGCAGAAGGTTTGCCTAAAAGACAGTATGTCAACTGATTCCTTATTTTGAGAAGGTTGCAATCCAAGTGACATGAATATTTTATGCTTCTGTGCACTGTTCTTTGGTTTTATGATAGCTGAGCTCTGATCTGATTTCTGCGTACAAATTTACAGTTGAAACACATCTTTTAAATGAAATTACTACACAAACTATGGTTGTCACAAGGTCTGACAAAAGCTTAATTAAGGAAAAGGATAGTGAAATCTCCAAACAGAGAGAAAGCTATGTTGAGCCAACAAACGGATATCGCTCTAGTAAGTAATGGTGTTATATCAACTTTAATGACAAGTCATAATTGGTATGTGTTTTCTATAACTCGAATATATTTATTCCTTAGGTAGTTTTGTTTTTAGAAAACCACTATAGCTACATGCAACTAGAAATGTTTTTTTTCTTTCCTTATCTATTAATTCTTCTGTTTTATAGTCTAGAAAAGTATGTTCATATTGTATAATGAACAAAAGATAGAATCAATTAAAATTATTTCCTGGGAGCTTATTATTATTTTTTAAAACTTTTTTGTTTGTCGGTCATGACGCTTGAACTCTGGGCCTGGGTACTGTCCCTGAACTCTTCAGCTCAAGGCTAGCACTCTACCACTTGAGCCACAGCGCCACTTCTGGGTTTTCTGGTGGTTAATTGGAGATAAGAGCCTAATAGACTTTCCTACCTGGGCTGGCTTTGAACTGTGATCCTCAGATCTCAGCCTCCTGAGTAGCTAGGATTACAGGTGTGAGCCACCAGCACCCAGTTTATTTTTTAACTTCTATAGTAGCTAAACTTCTCTGCTATCTTGGGTCACCCAATAGCTTTGCAGTATCACAACTTTATGGTTCCGACTATGATGCTATGCTTATTGAAGAACCTAAATAAAAAATGAATAACTCAATAATATTGCGCTAGAGTTCAACATTAATAAATGAAACTGGATGACATTTCTATTTCCTTTTGGTTGTTTAGGTTTGGATTTTCAATCACCTCAAAAGGAGTATTCAGTAACTGCTACAAGCTTTGCCCACAGTCCCACTACTACTCAAAACCTTTTGAGCACAGAGAGCATCTCCCAATTGCCATTAAACTCAACTATGGCTCTCATGGGTAATTTGAAGAAAGCTATTTCTCATCAGATGTCGGGTTATGAATATGTGGACAAGGTTCTCAGTGCAAATCTGGATGAGCTACAAGTTCCTGCAAATAACACTAGTCTTTCAAGCATTAATTCAAACAGCTCCTTTGGTGATGAAAAGGACATTTTCCAGAGCGTGATCCAAAGAGAGATGGGAAGACATCATTCTCAGATTAACACGTCCCTCCAAACATACAGCCAGTTTGCATCTGCATTACCAGTGACTAAAGCAGTGACAGTTTTGTCAGGAAAGTCTGGATCAACCAAAACATCAACTTGCACTAAGTCATCCTGTTTTCTTGGAGTTTCTTGTGTACCAACCAGAGATGGCCATTTCAAATGTGGACGCTGCCCTCTGGGGTACTATGGAGATGGCATCACTTGCAAAGGTAGTGTGAAAATTCTTCATAAATGTGAACTAGGAAGTTCCCATAACTAAGAAGATAGGTTTTCTATTTACTACTTTCTATTTATTTCATCCAATATTTATGGTATTTTTGATAGAAAGGGGTTTCTCCTGAGTTACTTTTAAGTATACGTAATAGGTATATTCTAGTAGAAAACTTTGGTATCAATTATGTCATAAAACTGACAACGCATACAATGAAGTTTCAAATACTATTCTTCTAAGTTCTGAAACGTCATTGCCTTTTTTTTATTGTGAAAATACGGTATAGAGGAGTTACAATTACATGGGCAAGATAATGAGTACATTTTTTTTTTTGAGGTCCGGTCAAGGGGCCTGAACTCTGGGCCTGGGCACTGTCCCTCAGCTCTTCAGCTCAAGGCTAGCGCTCTACCACTTGAGCTACAGTGCCACTTCTGGCTTTTTTCTTTTTGCTTACATGGTGCTGAGGAATTGAACCCAGTATCTCATGCATGCAAGGCAAGCGCTCTACCACTGAGCCACCTTCCCAGCCCATATGAGTACATTTCTTATCAAGCATTGTTGCCTCCTCCTTTGTTTCCCCTTCCTATCCCTTCCCATCTTCCCCCACCCCTTCATTGCCTTTTAAAAATTGTAATCTGCCATGTATGATTGACCACCACTGCCAACCTTAGGTACTGCCCTGAGGGGTAATTTCTATGTACAATACTTATTTCTTACTCTGCTAGCCATTTCTTCAATCATTTTAATAATAAAAGAAGTATAAACAAAAATGAAATCATAGATTGCTGTAGTTTCTGTTCTAATACAGTATCAAAATAATAGCATTTGAGAAAAGTTGAATTGTATCATAACTAAACATGAGGAGTATATGTATATTAAACCATCTACACAGCAATTTTTTGCTTGATTCATGCAGCTATTTGTAGACACCCTTGTGGGAAAGACAGAGAATGTGTGGCCCCCAACACGTGCAGGTGTAAAGCAGGCTACGTTGGTTCTAACTGCCAAACCGGTAGGTACAGCATTGCCTAGTTTGCATAATAAATAGAGCATTGGTAATTGAGACCTCTAAACCCTTGGCTCTATTTTATACAGCGATATGTCACCCTGCTTGCAAAAACCATGGAAAATGTGTAAAGCCTCACATTTGTGAATGTCCTCCAGGATATGGCGGAGCTACCTGCACTGAAGGTGATAAATCTAACTAAAAATCAATAATGGAGCTAAAACTAGGTGTTACTTTTTAAAAATTATTTTACTTATTTGTATTTTATTATCATTAAGTAACGTACAAAGAAGTTGACATTTGGCAAAGCAGTTCACGAATACACTGCATCTTGACCAATGTCACCCTCTTACTCCCCTTACTTTCTTTAAAATAGTTGTGAGAGATAATTCACTTTGCTTGGCATGTATTGATATATTTTACTAATGTTAGTGCATGATTCTATAGTTTTTTCCCAAATATATATTAAAATAATTCATTGAAGTTTAAAGAATACGGAATGTCAACAATCAGAGATCTAAGAAAAAAATGAATAGCTTATCTTTGGTAAAATTATCTTCCAAAATGATTTTTGGGATTTAGCTATGTTATTGGCAAAAATGATTATTAATTGACTTACCAAAGATAACTCAAAAGAAACATTACATGTAAAGTAATTAAAAGATATAAGATAGCAATGAGAAAGTATTCTTAATAAATTATTGTAAAATGATGTACAGAGCAGTTGCAGGTACATAGTCAGGTAATGAATACATTTCTTCTTGAACAGCATCATGTCCTCCCTAATTTTCTCCCACTTTTCCCCTCGCAACCCCCAAAGTTGTATAGTTCATTTCCCATAGTGCAAAATAGTGAGTTCAAAGAGAAATTTAAACAGCAATTGTATAAGTACATTGGGCTAACAAAGTGGCTTAGTAGTAGAATGTTTGCCTAGCATGCTTGAGGCCCAGAGTTCAATTCTTTGGTACCACATAAAAAGACAAACAAAAAGTTTTTAAACAATAAATAAAAAAGACATCTATAATCTTATTAGTTGCACTATTTAAGCTAAAATGTTAAGTGCAGATGGTAGATGATACTTTAAAGAAATATATTTATCATTGTTTTGAAAAAGTTTCTTTAAAAGCATATACTCTATTTAGGGGAGAATCTCCATGATGTAACTTATTTGAACAATTTTTGGACATTTTGACAAAATGAATATCCTGTGTGGATGAGGAGCTCAAGGGGAAGGGGGTAAATATAGTCATGAGATCCAATGTACTTGTATGAAAATGGAGGTGGGGGGATGGCTGAGGTTGGGGTAGATGCAGAGAATGCTGGAAGGGGTGACATTGATCCAGATACATTATATTCATGGAATGACATGTTGATTTGAGAATTCTGGTCACAATTGTTTAAAGATAGTAAAAATAAATTTAATATAAAATATTTTAAAATTAAGAATATTTTGTAGTAGATGGCACAGGCAGTTACAAATAAGGATTTGTTATATGCTTTAGTGACATGGCAAAGTATAAATTAACAAGGGAATATAAATATAGGGTAAACTAACAAAAGCTTACAACACTAATAAGGTATGAGAATATATTTATAATGCACCCTAAGATTCACTTTTCAGGACAAGTATAAAATTATATGTTTCTACCCAATTTTTAGAAGAGTTTTTCATAAACCTCTTATATTCCTGTCTGTATTGCATTCATTAGGTTTCTTTTATAAACCAAAACATGTCATGAATGCTGGTGAATGTTTCAGAGAAAGATATCCACGTAGTCTGTACTGCAGAAGGGAACTGCATGGGAAGAGCACTGAGGCCACTATTAACTGCTCTTATAAAGCTTTCTTGTGTTTGTGATATCAATTTTAATTATCATGACAAAGACCTGATTTACTAATGCAATCTGTATCCACAGAACATTGCAACCCTCCTTGTCAACATGGTGGTACATGCTTGTCTGGCAACCTCTGCACTTGTGCTTACGGTTTTGTGGGACCCAGGTGTGAAACAAGTAAGCAAAGATCCTGTGTGGTCATGATATAATGAACTTGTTTCTTTGATGAAATAAACCCACACCCTAACTAAAAACACCCACTCATGATTTCTGATGCTGAATAGCATTGGGAACAACTGTAGATGACCAATCTGAAGGCAAAGACTTATTTTTTCTGGGCATAGAAGCTCAAACTGTAATCTTAGCTACTTGGGAAACTAAGATTAGGAAGATTAAGGTTTGAGGCTAGCTTGGGTTTGTGGGACCTCAACTCAATCAATATAACCTGGATGGGTTAGTGAGCACCTTCCAGATACACAGCAAGTGTAAATGAGGGGATTAGAGTCCAAGCCAGCCTGACCATAAATGTAAGATTACATTTGAAAAGAAATTAAAGGAGAAAAAGATTGGGGGTATTGTTCTAGTGGTACAGGATCTATCTAGCAAAAGCAAGGCCTCAACTTCAAACCCAGTAACTAAATAAACAACAAAAACCATCATTTTGAGGAAGTGGCTCTGTGGTTCAAGTGATAGAGTGCCGGCCTTGAGCTGAAGAGCTCAGGGACAGAGTTCAAGCTCCACAACTGACAGAAAAAAATTTTTTTTTTAGTCTCTGAAGTAATTCTCTGAATCCTACCTTTGATCCTTCTTTGAAATAGAAGGAAGTCAAATATGTTAATTTGCATATGAATTTTCCTTTTGTCTTTATTGTTTTTAATTTTTTTCAGTGTTTTTGTTTTTGAGTTAGCATTTATGATATGCCGGGGTATTAATGTGCTATTTTAGACATGTTCTCAACTTAGTTCGAACAAATTCATCCACTCCAACATAGTCTTATTCCTATTCCTCCCCTCCCTTTTCCCACTTTTTCAAGTCTCATTTATTATGTCTGTTTACTCAACTAGCCAATTCTTATCATTAGGCTCAATGGTCTTAGAGAGCATTGAAGGCCAAACTTTATATTATGTCCCATCTATTGATTAGCAGATATGTGTGGCAGTTATGAGCTAGTTATGCAATGGCCAACAATCTGTGTTTCTCTTATTTGTCTTTTTCTTCTTTTATTCCATGACTTCAGAGGTTTGTAACAGGCACTGTGAAAATGCAGGTGAATGTCTTGAACCAGATGTTTGCCAGTGCAAGCCAGGCTGGTATGGACCCACCTGCAATACAGGTAAATCACAATTATGTTCAATGACACATGAATTAAAAGAAATATAAAATATTACAATGTCTTGAAGGCTTACACCTAACATACACACACACACACACACACAGATCTAGCGCGACAGTAATGAGATTGATCTGTCAGACATATTTTTTTAAATGCTCTCTTTTCCTTCTTATTTTTTATTGGAATGTAGATGGCATCTTACAACATTATTGTATCATTACTTTATCTCATCAATATTAGATTTTTTTTGTTCCCCTCCTCCACTTACTTGGCATGAACATAGAACATCTATTCAATGTTTTATTTTCTAGGTTTAAGATTTTATTTGTGTTTAATCACAACACAGATTTTCTATCTCATTAAAATTTCTCAAGCCAGCTGCCAGTGTCTTATGACTATAATCCTAGCTACTCAGGAGCCTGAGATCTAAGGATCCTGGTTCGAAACCAGCCAAAGCAGGAAAGTCCATGAGACTCTTATCTCCAATTAACCACTAGAAAAATAGAAGTGGCACTATGACTCAAGTGGTAGAGTGCTAGCCTCAAGCTGAAGAGCTCAGGGACAGTGCCCAGGCCCAGAGTTCAAGCCCCACAACCAAAAACTTTTTTTTTCTCTAAGTTATTCTGACTCACACACATCATGTTATTCCATTCATTTATCAAAACATCAGACAGGTTTCTTTTTTTTTTTTCTTTTGTCGGTCGTGGGGCTTGAACTCTGGGCCTGGGCGCTGTCCCTCAGCTCTTCAGCTCAAGGCGAGCACTCTACCACTTGAGCTACAGCACCACTTCCTCAGACAGGTTTCTATAGCAACAATGCATATGAGTATTTGTGTTTATCCTAACTGAACACAATGAAAATTTAAGATATAGCTTGGCAAGTTTATGTGAACTAAAGGACACAAAACATCAAATTGACTTTTGCTTTTAGTGGAAAAGGTGTATCATAAGTAAAGGAGGTAGAGATATTTATAAAAAAGACTGAGACAAGAACTTATAAGGAATATAATGAAAGCATAGTTGTTCTGAAGCAAAAGTCATAAATCAACCCTGGCGAGTTGAGTTTGGAGGAAAATAGTATTTGACATGGGCATTGGTAGATGGGTTGAAGAATAGTTTGGAGAATATCTTTCAAAGCAAAATGAAGGTAAAAAGGGGAGACCAAAGGATGTTTCTGACCATGTTAGGGCCTGAGTGTAGGTCTCCTTTTGTTGGGAAAGAAACAAAGGGTCCACAGAGCCATATGGAATTGAACAGATTGCATGCCATCCTTGTCCTGTTAGAGAGGCTGAAGTGAAACTACCTTCTCTTACACTCCTTCCCTCCACCCCCACCCCCAGTTCTCAAGGGGCATTTTGAAGGCTAACCACATACTCTACATTTGTAGCTGAATAATATTTGTGTACTTAATGAACATTCTTTCCAAGCAATTATGAAGTTATTTTATTCCTCTCTGTTTACTAAAGTCTAATCAATAGTGGATTATGGGGCTTACTTACAGTAAAAATTTAAGTATTTTATTTCGTTCCATTTTGTACTTTTATACAGCTTTCATTTTTAAAATAGTAAGGCTTTTGTGGTTGTCTTCCTTCTGCTGTTCATTAGCTCTGTGTGAGCCCATTTGCCTCAATGGTGGTTCCTGTTACAAGCCAAACACTTGCCTCTGCCCAAATGGATTCTTCGGAGCACAGTGTCAGAATGGTAATTATTCTTTCTTTATTAAGAAAAAGAAGATTATTTAGGTATCAACAGGTTTACATTCATACCAGACAACTTCTAGAGGGGAAAATCTTACTGTTTTCCTCTGTTCCTTATAATGGTTCATGAGTGGCTATCTACCCATGGCCAAGTTTGTGCAAATGCATTAGAGTTGTTATGCAAAATGGTTGTATTTCTTCAATATATGTTGTAGTCTTGGCACTTGTCTTTGCTGTTTTGTGGAACAAAGGTGTGAAAGAAATAGTCAACATTATCTTGAGTTGATAATGAAACAGTATCTTCCTTGCTGCCTTCTCTAAAAAAAGATAAACTTTGATTTATGTTAAACCCTACCATAACTTGTTATATCCAGATATCTCATGACTTTAGGTTCATTAAACACTTATGAAGAGGCATATATGCACATCACTATGAAAAGTGATGGGAGATTAAAAAAAGTGCATGATTTTCTCCTTCTTGGCCCATTATGGCCCATCATTTAATGCCTCTCCCCACATGCTGCTACAGGTTTTTATTAGAATAGAAATGTCTCAAAAGAGAATATATGCCGGGCACCGGTGGCTCAGGCCTGTAATCCTAGCTACTCAGGAGGCTGAGGGCTGAGAATCACTGTTCAAAGCCAGCGTGGGCAGGAAGGGCGGTGAGACTCTTATCTCCAATAAACCACTAGAAAATAGGAAGTGGCACTGTGGCTCAAGTGGTAAAGCACTCTCCTTGAGGTGAAAAGCACAGAGACAGTGCCCAGGCTCAGAGTTCAAGCCCCACGACTGACCAAAAAAAAAAAAAAAGTGAATATATATGTGGGAATTGATGTCAATGACTTATTTAAAATGTATTTTCAATATCGTCTGTTTTTGAGTTACACTATGAATAGAATGTATTACACTATGGATAGAATGTATTTTTAGTAAAGAACTTATTAGAACATCTTCATAATTTAAATGTTAAGATTTGTACTTTTCCTGTCTGTGATGTACTTGAACGTATAACTAGGTTTTTGTTGCTTGGAAGTTGATTAGGATAAAACTGAAGCTAAGAAAAAGAAAACATCGTCCAGACACAGGATATTGAGGTTAGGGAATGAGTTCTACTAGCTCACATTTCCTCTGAGGAACTAGTTTGAGAAATGCAAAGAAGTAAAAATATTAAATTACGACAAACCTTAGAAAATGATGGGTTTTGACTAAATCCATGCTAAAGATTATAGGTACAGTTTTGTGATGTGTGTGTGTGTGTGTGTGTGTGTGTGTGTGTTTCTTTTGTCGGCCATCGGGTTTGAACTCTGGGTTTGTGAGCTGTCCCTCAGCTCTTCAGCTCAAGGCTAGAGCTCTACCACTTGAGCCACAGCACCACTTCTGGTTTTCTAGTGGTTTACTGGAGATAAGAGTCTCACAGGCTTTTCTGCCCAGGCTGTCTTTGAATTGCGATCCTCAGATCTCAGCATACTGAGTAGCTAGGATTACAGGTGAGCTACCAGCACCAGGCTAGTTTTTTGTTTTTTGCTTTTCTAATTTAAAGAATTCTTCAGTAGTTTCTGTAATCAAACCCATGTAAATAAGACCTTACATATTTAATACAGAGTGTTATCCGCCTGTAAAAATAGAAAAAAAAGCCCTTAAGTTTAACATTTCTAGACCCATATTAGGTATAGTTTTGAGTAGAGAAACTAAGGAATTTTAAAGCTTGATTGTGCCATGATAATTACAGTAGGTGTAAGACATCTTTTAAAAAGTGTTCCTTGTTGAACATCTGTGCCACATACACACTCTCTTTCTCTCTCTCTCGCTCTCTCTCTCTCTCTCTCTCTCTCACACACACACACACACACACACACAAAGTTGGGAGGAAAACAAAATGTAGTTAAAAATTATCTAGCAATGTGGGGCTGGGAAGGTGGTTCAGTGGTAGAGCGTTTGCCTTGCATGCCTGAGGCCCTGGGTTCGATTCCTCAGCACCACATAAGCAAAAAGAAAAAAAGCCAGAAGTGGCGCTATGGCTCAAGTGGTAGAGTGCTAGCCTTGAGCTGAAGAGCTGAGAGACAGTGCCCAGGCCCAGAGTTCAGGCCCCACGACCGGACCCAAAAAAAAAATTATCTAGCAATGTAACAAATGTAATACTCTTTATTCTCCAGTTTTATATGGATTTCAAGCAATCATCTGTGTAACACAGCATTTGGTTCAAGAACTATTTTCACTTCATGTGTTTTTATAGAATTTTCCTGATTTTCTCAATAGTTATTCATAACTTGGGGCCCCTCCTTCTCCTTAAATCCCCAATTAACTGAATTACATGGGGTTTGTTAGGAGGGCCATCTGAGGTTTGTAGAGGGTCAGTTTTTCTCCTAAACCTCCTTTCCTGCTGTGTATTATGAGTAGATGGATAAATCCAAAATTTATTTCATTTTATTTTATTTCATTTATACATTGTTTTAATTATAAGGGTGTTTTGAGTAAATGTATTTATCTTTGTACTTATGTTTTCAAGAATACTGATTATATGGCAAATTACTTTAAATAATGTGAGTTTTGCTTTTTTAATTTTAGATTTCCAATTATAGATATCCCTGATGTTGTTTTTGAGATTTCTAATTATAGATATCCCCTATGTTGTTTTTGAGGTAGAAGGAATACTTGTTTTGCCTAATGAACAGAAATAACTGTAAGTTAATTTTAAGTTGTATAAAGGAAAAAGAGCGGAAAATATAAGCACATTTCAGTAATAAAATATGAGGTATACCTCTGTTTATAATCATAGGAGCATTTTCTGTGTAACAAACCCCAATATTTCAGTAGTCTGGCATAATCATTCATTTTTCCCCATGCATAGGTCCTACAGTTTGGCTGGAATGGACTCTAGACTTTTTAACCTGACTAGGAGACACTCCACAGACTAAAATTGACCTGGTCAATTAAATAGAAGAAAGAGAGCGAAGCCAAGAATAAGTTTACCACACATTTTGAAACTTCTGTTTGCATCGTGTTTGCTCACTGGCCATTGATCAGTTCTGTCACACAGCAAAGCACTGTACTAACTGGACAAGAACATAAGCCCCCTCTGGTCTTAGGGGAGACTAAAGGCAAAGTCACATGGCAAAGAGGATGAGTAAGAAAGAATAAAGGAAGTAATTGGCCACAAAAACCAGTAATGCAAAATAGCTCCATTTAAAAACTAAACTCAAATTATTGCAACAGTTTTTGTTTTGATGCTTAAAAAGTTTATTGGATAAATGTTTTTATAAGTACCAAAAAATGTCAGATAAAGTAGGCTCATTAATCAGAAAAGTTTTAGCCTAAAATAGTAGAAACTACTCACTAAAAGGATCCAATTGTAGTGTTTGTACTCGAAGTGCTTCATTTTCATTTATAAATCCATTTGAAATCAGTGTTTTCCTTACAAGGCTTGAAAATAAAGAATACAACTATTACAGAGAGACCCAACTCAAACTGACAGTCTAGCATAGCTCCATTACCAAAATCTGTCAACTTGAAATAGAAACTAAAATATATTTAAGTATTATTCTATCAAAAAGTTTTGAAAGGTTTGTCAACATGTAATAAAGAAATAAAATAAAACAAAAGCAACAACAAAAGCAACATATGAAAAAGCACTGACTTTTAGCTGTCCGTTAGTGGCCCATGCCAGTAATCCTAACTCTTACTTTAAACTCCAGATGCTGAAAGATAAGAATTTGGACTTCAAGGCATATTAGAAAGATGCTGTCTTGGAAAGGGAAGAAAATTTAAAAAAAAAAAAAAAACTTTTAAAAAGACTAAAAACCAGAAGAAGCAATAAGTCATCTCTCATTAAAAATGACAATTATGAATTTTTTCCTATATAAATAATATAAGCATTTTTAAAAATTGTAAACAACTAGGACAGTGGTAGCTCATGCTTGTTTCAAGACCAGCCTAGGCAGAAAAGTCCATCAGACTCTTGTCTCAATTAGCCAGCATGAAGCTGGAAATGGATCTGTGACTCAAGTAGTAGAGTTCAAGCCTTGCGCAAAATGGCCAAGTAATAGGCCAAGGCTCTGAGTTCAAGCTCCTCTACCAACACACACACACACACACACACACACACACGCAGAATGATAAATATGTACACAGAAAATACAAAGTGTATTTGAAATATGGAGGGAATATTCCCAGCAAATGATTCACTGTTATTAAGAGTATTACTCTGAAGTTTGCAGGAGCCATTCATGTAAAACTCTGCCTCATAACCTTACTAGTTATTTAAAAGATCTTTTAAAGTGTTTTCTTACACTTTTGTTATGCCATGTGAAAAATCGTTGAAGTTGTTCTAATTTCCTTAAGAACAAACAAATTACTTTGCTTTTTCATCTTGGTTTTGTCCGGATTATTCTCTACTTCATCTCAGCAGTATGGAAAAACCTAAATTAAGGATCATAATATATGTTGTATAATACCAAAGAAGACTCTATTTGTTACAAATACTTAGCCATGCATTTTGAATAGTGTTAAACTACTCATGGCTTATGGCTTTCAGCATTTCATTTTTTTATTTACAAGGGGCAGTTTAATGACTTGCAGCCATAATCTTTTATTTTAATAACGTATTCTTCTGACTTATGGCTCCATAGATAACAAGTGTAAAATGCAATAAGCAATATGTAGTAACTGAATATGTACTGCTCCCGCCCTGGGGCCTTGTGTCCTTCCAGCCATCTGTCACCCTCCCTGCAAGAACGGTGGCCTCTGCCTGAGAGACAACGTGTGCGTCTGTCGTAAAGGATACACTGGAAAGAGATGCCAGAAAAGTAAGCTAGCGCAGAACATACTCACAAAGTATAAGAAAAGCAAACTGAAAACGACCGCTGCTTTAGGGCTGACGTTTCACCCTTTTACCTTAAGGTATCTGTGACCCTATGTGTATGAATGGAGGCAGATGTGTGGGACCAAACATTTGCTCGTGCCCTTCTGGTTGGAGTGGGAAACGATGCAGCAGACGTAAGAAGATTCAAGAATACTCTTACAATGCTAAAATCTACCTCGTTCCTTGTTTCTTTTGCCTGTTTTCATTGCTTATTTATTCCTGCTTTAGACTATATCGTTTTGAAATAGAGTAAAAGGCAAAATCCTCTTACCCCATTTTCCCAAACAGTAAAAACAAAAACAAATAAACAAAACAACAACAAAGAAAAGAAAAAGGAAACCTGACAAGCTGGGCACTGGGCGCAGGTCTGTAATTCAAGCTACTCAGGAAGCTGATAAACAGTTCATAAGTTCATAAACAGCCCTGGCAGAACAGTCTGTGAGCCTCTTGGCTTTCATTAACCAGAGGGGAGGGGGGAATGTTGGGAAGCAGAGGCATGGCTCCAGCTATGCTCAAGCTAAAAAGCCATGGGAAAGCAGGAAGCCGCGAGTTCTAGTCCCATTACAGTACAGACAGACAGAAAAAAAGAAGGAAAGGCAGGTAGGCAGGCAGGCAGGCAGAAAGAGAGAAGGAGAGAAAGAAAGAAAGAAAGAGAGAGAGAGAAAGAAAGAAAAGAAAGAAAGAAAGAGAGAGAGAGAAAGAGAAAGAAAGAGTAAGAGAGAAAGAGAAAGAGAGAGAGGGAGGGAGGGAAGAAGGAAGGAAGGAAGAGAAGGAGGGAGGGAGGAAAGGAGGGAGGGAAAAGAGAGAAAGAAAGAAAAGAAGAATACACATTTTCAATTATGTTTGCAGAATAATTAACAAATCTTTAAATTCTGGTCTCCTAATCAGAAGGAGAGGAGAGAGGAAAGTTGGAATATATCAATGATTCTTAGATTCTGCTTCAATCAGTCCCATTGCCTTTGATTCTGGTTAGTTTCTGAGATGATTGTGGCTCTCTTCATTCCAGTGTTTCATGATAGAAAATTATTATATTAAATTATCAGCTATCATACCATACTGACCAAAGTGGAAAAAAAATGAGAAGGAATGTAAACAGCTTAACAATTGGAGAAAAGTTGAATCATGACTCACTTGGAGCACTGTATATCCACTAAAATCCCATTGTTTTCCAGAATATGTAAAAGATGGATGATGTTCTTGCTAAAATGTAAAGGGGGGAAAAAAATCTTTTCATCCTTGACTTGTAACTATGTGTCATTCTTCTCTTTAGTGGTTTGACTAGTCATTTAAAACTCTGATGTGTTTGCATTTGTATTTGCAGCAACCTGCTTTCAGAAATGTAAAAATGGAGGTGACTGCATTGCTCCTGGGGTGTGCCACTGCCCTTCGGCATGGGAAGGGGGGCAGTGTCAAATACGTAAGTGGCCTGCGGGGTTGTTTTCTACTATATTCTGAAGCTGAACCTGTTGTAATTATTATGGTTTAACAAGATAGTGGAAAAAGTTCAGGTATGCTAATCTTGTCAGAAAATATTGTCAGAAATAAAATTAAATCTTAGCCACTTTTGTATTTATTTAACATGAGAAACTGAGGAGTTAATTTGTGACTAGCTCTTACATTTTTCTTGGCTAAGAATAGAAGTCTCCTTCACTGTGCCAAATAAATAAAACAATAAAATGCAAACATATTTTATAATGTATTAAAGTTTTTTATAGATTCAAATAATGATAACTAGATTCCCAGTAACATTTCCTTAAAGGAAGCGAAGTATTTCAATATGCAGAAGTTTAAGTAGTTCATGTTACAATATACATATTTATCATTAGATAGCTTAGAAAATAATGAAAAAATTTACTCCAAATACCACCAACCAAAGTTAATTTCCATTACTTTTCTTTTGTGTTTTATATATTTTCATTTAGACTTAGATGTAAGTTTTTTATACAGATAAAGCTCAGTGTATAGAGAAAAAAAACATGGAATATTGAAATATAAAAAAACTTGAAATAATATGTTGAAAAGTTAAGAAAGAGGAACCTAGTGGGGAATATTATAAATCTTCAAAATTACCACTGAATAATAACGCATTACATAATTTCACACTGGTGGTAAGTGAACAATAAATTGAAATCAACAGCTGCAACATGATTGTGTCTTTGCACTAGAAGTATTTTTTCAATCTCTTTTGAAACGTCAAAAATGTGCATAAAATTTTCATGACACTTGATACTATTGTTAGAATTGCTATTACAATTTGTATATTTCTTACCTTTGAAAATATAAAAGTAACTGTCAGCTTTTACATAAAAATGTGTACTCAAAAATGGATGATTCTGATTGCAAGTTAAAAGTTATAAAATACTAGAATTCAAGTACTATTGGCCTCAACTTAGACTATTCATTCTAGACAGAGAGAGATCTATGTGGGTCATAAAAATTCGAAGATGCTAAAAGAAGCTGGGCCAGGTAATATACACATGTAATCTCAGCCTTTGGGAGTCTGAGGTATGATGATTTTGAGTTTGAGGGCAGCATGAGCCACTTACTGAGAACTATACAATGATCTCTGAGCACAGCCTAAAGATTGACACTGTACTTCTGTGCTCTGTAGTACCTTTATACAAGTAAAGAAAAAAATCTCTCCATGAAAAGCCAGGTTCCAATGGCTCACACCTGTAGTCCTCACATCTTAGAAGGCTGAGATCTGAGTACTATGGTTCAAAGCCTACCTGGGCTGGAAAGTCCATGAGACTCTTATCTCCAATTAAACATTGAAAAGCTGGAAATGGAACTGTGGCTCAAGTTGTAGAATGAAAACCCTGAGCAAAGAAAACCTCAGGGACAGTGCTTTGGTTGAGGTCAAGCCCCAGGAAGAGAGAGAGAGAGAGACAGACAGACAGACACACAGACAGACAACAGGTAGATAGATAGATGTAAATAGACAGAGACAGAGAGAGAGGGGAAAGGGAGAGAGAAAGCTCCCTTCCTCAGAATGCTTACTGCGTTCTGCTAAACCATCCGAATATAATTGGTATCATCATCTAAACAGATGTGTTATTGCCATCTGCTGGAATCTTGTTATAATATTATTCAAATTATGATGTCTGTGATGTGGATGAAGCTACCCTAGCTATTACAGTCCTGCCCAGCTATATGTAGCAGCCTTGCTGAAAATATAACCCTTTGGTGTTGCACCTTATATAGAAGTGTGCCACCTCTAAACAGAAGACATTGACTTTGTATCATTTGGATGAAAAAACCTCAATGTTACCTAAAAATGTTTACCATCATCCTAAAAGGTCAATTTAAACCACTCAGAACTGGAGATTCTCTTGCCTCCGTCTCCTAAGTGATAGCATTGTAGGTAGGCATTACAACACTTGCCTGGCATCTCTAAAAGTTTTGCTACATGGTTGAAAGAAAAGTTATGAACACTCTCTTCTGTTATGGACTTAAATTCTTCTCAAAGAATGATATATTTCAAATACTTTAAAGTACCACCAAAGAAATTTTGGTTACCTCTAATCACGTTTATGTAACTGTAAAATTGTTGTTTGAGTTTTAGGTGTTTTGTTTTATGTGATAGGTGTGCAGGTGTGTGTGTGTATGTCTGTGTGTGTGTGTGTGTGTGTGTGTGTGTGTGTGTGTGTGTGTTCTGAACAATGAGAATGCATAGATTGGATCCACTAATATGTGGTTATTAATAAATTATTCCCACTTGCTTCTTCTCAACTGTGTTGCAACTGCTAGAAAATTTAATGTCGTTCACAATAACTTTTTTCTCTTTTGGTCACTGATCATTTATTTTTAAATTCAAATATTTTTAAGATAGAAATTGTACCTATTCACAGAATACTATGTGATGTTTTGATGCATCTATAATTGAGTAATACAAAAGCTTCTAAGAGCTACCCTTGTGTTCCAGTTACAAACTAGCTTTAGGCCATTGGAATAAGTCCTATGCATTCAGTTTTTTAAAAAATGATCATCATTAAACTTTCACATTACAGCAATTTGTAATCTAAAGTGTCTTTATGGAGGCCGATGTGCATTTCCCAATGTGTGCTCTTGCCGCTCTGGATATTCTGGGGTCAAATGTGAAAAGAAAATACAGGTACTTTAAATCTTAAGTAGAAAATAAATAATAGGCCCTGACATCTGCATATATCTTCTAATCAGTTACTAACTGCTGTTAATGTTTTAATTCCAAAATAGAAAATACACAATGATTCAAAATGTGCCTAATTGTTAACAATAATACCTTTCTGATGTTATCTTAGACTTATCTTTTTTATTTTCCTTGCTGGGGACTAAAGGCAGGTCCTCACATACGTGAGACCAATGTTGACACCCAACCCCAAACTTATTACACAAAAATTTAATGTGCACTTAAGCAATTTCAATATGTAAATGCAACTACCAAGTATAATACAGAGCTAAAGTAGCAAATAATATATGGTGTGCGCATGAAAGACCACTACTTCATGCTTCTGCCAAATGCTAAACAGAGGCTGGGGCTTGGGCTCTTTTGGTAGAAGGGCTATTTGATCCCTAGAACTATAACTAACTAAAAGTATTCTCATTAGTGAGTCATTACTTAATTGATTTGGGGGAAGGCCATACTTTACCAGTGTGTAATATTCCACTGCAGTTTGATTTGTTTATTCTCATTATTTTCTCTGGCAGTCTAAATAAATTTCACTTAATTTTCTTTGAGCTTTCTGTGACATCTGAAGCCCCATTGCCCTTAAAAGATTTTTTTTTAATTTTATTTTTGTTGGTCATGGGCCTGAACTCTGGGCCTGGGCACTGTCCCTCAGCTCTATGATAGCACTCTACCACTTGAGCCACAGCGCCACTTCTGGCTTTTTCTGCTTATGTGTTGTTGAGGAATTGAACCCAGTGCCTCATGCATGCAAGATAAACACTCTACCAGTGAGCCACCTTCCCAGCCTCCTTAAAAGCTTTTTAACAACACTTTGACAGTATAAAACTAGGTTTCTCTATATTCTATTTTTGTCTTTGTTGTTCTTTGTTTTATGTCATTACTAGGGCTTTAACTCAGTGCCTCACACTCTTATACTTTCTTGCTCAGATCTGGTGCTCTGCCACTTAAGCCATGCCCCGATTCCAGCATTTTTGCTTGTTAATTGGAGATGAAGTCTTATAGACTTTTTGTTGTTGTTGTTGATGGTGGTGATGGTGGTGGTGGTGTTGGTCATGGGGATTTAACTCAGGGCTTGGGAGCTGTCCTTGAGTTTTTTCTGCTCAAGGCTAGCTAGCACTCTACCACTTTGAGTCACGGTGCCATTTCTGGTTTTGGAATTCTGGTGGTTTATTGGAGATTAAGTGTCTCATGGACTTTCCTGCCTAGGCTGGCTTCAGACCACGATCTTGAAATCTCAGCCTCCTGAGTACCTAGGATTACAGAAGTGAGCTACCAATGTCTAGTTTATATTCTTTCTCTTCTATATTTATTTACCAGCTGAATCCTTCCTCTTGTGATCAATAGCAGATCATCTCCATCCACATTAGTCACTTCTGAGGCTGCCCCTGGAACCATACAAGGGACAGGAGTAGATTATGGGGAAGGAAAAGGGAAAGAAAATCTAGTGAGAGGGAAGCATGGCCTGCTGTACTATAATCTGCCCTCTGAAATTTATACCTTCCATTCTCCATTTGTCATTCTTCTTTCGCTAATTGATATTATTTCTGTTTGCTCTTAACATTTTTGGCCTTAAATGCAGTGTAATTTTTTTCTTCTTAGCAGGAAAAATAAAAAAAATAAAAAAAAACCTACTTCATGAGTATTCATAACACCCTCCCTGCATGCTCCCCTGTCTCTTTTAGCTTTCCAAAAGAGAATTCAGTCTGACTAATCAGCCTATGGCTTTTCTTCCAGCACCTGGAGCTAGTAGATAAACAATAACAAAAAAAGAAACAGGATACTAATTAGCTGGCTAGAATTGCAATTACATAGAGAATTAACGGGCCAGTATCAAAAGACACAAAGCAAAAGGAAACTGATCAAGAGGGTAGGTGATAAAAAGCTTTGAGAAGCATGACAGCCTGAAGCTAGCTGCAAGGTGCCCATACCATTGACCTTGCTACTTGTTGTTGAGCCTTAGTTTCCCTATCTGCAGAATGAGGCACCACTGAATAAATAAAGAGTACTTAGAACAATGCCTGGTTCAAAGGAAATACTAGATGAGCGTTTGTTACTATGTATTGCATTAAACAGACGAGTAGAGAGAGGTAGAGAAGGGAAGTTTTAGGGAATGAGACTAGAAAATGGTAAGGTGGGATTGTCTAGACTCTTTGTAAAAAAGGGTTTGAAAACAACTGGTGTTATTGGGCAGGAATGTTTCTTGAACTAATGCTTTGCAATGTGGTATTACATTTCATGCAAGCTCCATGTGGTCCTGGTTTCTTTGACCTTTAAATATGATCCTAATTAGATCCGTATTATATGAAAGCAATCCTGAACATAGTGGCTGAAAGAAGCAAAAAAGCTTTATGTGTATGGTCAGAAAGAGGGACGGAGAAAATGAGTTTCTTGTTCTTTATTGATACTTGATTTCCCTTATCTTATTACAGATAAAACATCATTGAGTGAGCATCAAGTGTTATGAATTACAAACCTGTATCATAAGAACTCAAATTTTGTTCAAACAAAAATGAAAGATAACTCCTGATGTTTATTTAAGGATCATTTTACAGATCTTGTAAAGAACAAAGAAACTAAAAAATGTATGGATCGATATTGTCCTTGTTGGAGGAAACCAAAAAAAAAAAAAAAAGAAAAAGAAAAAAATCCGGGTATCCTAGTTTGAAGTGTGTGCTGCTGTTTACATATTGAGATATGTATCTTATATTCCAGCCATGTGTAATATTTAATAAATGGAATATTTTCTCAGTCCTGCGACTGTATCACCTGGGTTCAGTCATCATAATATAAGCCACTAGATGTCTCCAAGATATGCAGTGTTCAATGCAGAATGAGAATGTAGAATTAGAGGCTCGTGAGCTGTTGGAAGGCCTGAGTTGAGAATGGAGACAGAGAGGTTGGGAAAGTAGCTGCTGAAGGTTGAAGAGGTGATACTGAGATATCCAGCCTAAATCACCAAAAACACACAACAAAGCAAAAAACTAACACTTTACCTGGCCCTGAATGTGATCACTAGCATTTTGAAGGTAGTAGCAGGGGGTGGGGGTGGGGGACACAGTGTGAGAATAAAAAGTAATAACTCCTTCATTGCAAGTAGGTCAGTTATGCAATGGTTCATTAGAAGGAAGAAATTAAATTAGGCTAATTAATGGAAAGTTAACTAAATATACTGATTATGACATGAGTCAAATGGACATCACAGAACTTTTGACAGAAGATATTTATTCCCCAGTAAGAAATTTCACTATCATCCTACCACATTGCAGTGACTATATTTGAAAGCATGTCTGACTAAACACAAGGATTTGTACTTTTTTCCAAAAGCTATTAAAAAAGTAAATTTTACTGATTTTTAATGGCTGAAGACCACCTGATATTTTGTCAAAGCATCTCCTTTAAGTATCTCTTTCCATATATCTTTATACTCTATAGTTTTGATAGCAAATAAGAGGTTTCCATTGATTAATTTATTGGAAGAATTATTTTTAAAGGAACATATTTCAGCAAGTGTTCCTGAATGAGTATCCTGGGTTTATTATTAATTTTTTTAGCTATGAAGTATGCCTGTGTACTTGGAAGTGTCAGTAAGAGCACAGAGCAGAAATAGCAGAGAGGCGAGCACTAGGGCACACCCCACGGGATGCTCAACTCAGGTACACCTGGGTTTTAACCCAGCCCCCTCTCATGTATGTGACTTGTCCACTGAGCTCCACCTACCTGTACGCTTGAATGCATTCATTTGTAACATAAAAATGAATAGCTCTGTGGCTCTGAATCACGCTTGTAAATCCTAGATATTCAGGAGGCTGACACCTGGTGGATTGAGGTTTGAAGCTAGCCCATAAGGAAGTCCAGAAGATTCCATTTGTCATTAACATAACAATGGTGATCTGGAAGTGTGGCTAAAATGGTAAAATAGCCAGTTATAACAACAACAACAAAAAAAACCTAAGAGCATGAGGCCCTGAGTTTAGCATCTTACACACACACACACACACACACACACACACACACACACACACACACGGGATACATAATATTTATTTCATAAGATTACTGTGTAATTTTAAATTTAAAATGAGATTATTATAATCAGTTTCCACAAATGAGTATCACCTAACACTTGCCAACATATGGATCTTATCATTAGTAATAATCATTATAATTATTAATGCTTAAATGAGTAGACCACCTTATGAAATGCTGACAGGTACACATATATCTGATTTTCAGATTTTACCATTACTATAATTTATTGGCATGTTTTGTGATAAAATTAAAGAATTTACTTTTAACAAGCACTAAGCAGTGTGTAAAGTGAAACAACTTAAAATAAGTGAACAGAAATTTTTTTTTGGGGGGGGGGGGGTCCGGTCGTGGGGCCTGAACTCTGGGCCTGGGTGCTGTCCTTCAGCTCTTCAGCTCAAGGCTAGTGCTCTACCATTTGAGCCACAGCACCACGTCCGGCTTTTTACTTTTTGCTTATGTGTTACTGAGGAATCAAACCCAGGGCCTCAGGCATGTAAGGCAAGCGCTCTACACTGAGCCACCTTCCCAGACCCAAGTGAATAGAAATTTTAAGTCAACTCTAATTCACATTTATTAAGAACTAGACTGAAACTGGACACCAATGGCTCACACATTGTAATCCTAGATATTCAGGAGGCTGAGATCTGAGAACTATGGTACAGTCAGCTTGGGCAGGAAACGCTGTAAGATTATTATCTAAAATTAACCACCACAAAACTGGAAATAGCACTGTGGCTCAAAATGGTAGAGAGGTAGTATTGGGCAAAAAAAGCTCAGGGACAGTGCCCAGGCCCTGAGTTCAAGCCACAAAATAGACAGAAAAAAAACAAAGAAAAAAGAAAATAAGAAGAAGAACTAGACTGCAGAGAATAAAAGCAGCAAGCATATAACTGGGTTAACATAAAGATGACCATATT